AGAGAGAAATATTTCAGCGGTTAATTTATTGAGCTTTCCTCCGGACGGAACTCGCACTGATGGTCAGTGTTGCTTACGAACTCTCTTATCGTTAGGTGGTCTTTATCCCAGATTAAGGAATTTTTTCTGCATCCTCAGCGTTTCCGTTTCTAACAGTTTTGGTACTTGATGGAGGAAAAAAAGCCCCCGATTATCATTAGCACTGTGTTAACTTTGGAGTCAGGGTAACGAAGACGTTCACAACGCCAACTTAAGCATAGGCCTCATTTTTTTTAACAATTTTTGAGAATCGTAATGGTATACTATGTTGATAAAGAGAAAAATGATTTTAAAAGTTCTAATTTTAAGGAGAGGTTCATTATAATAGTAGCTTTGTGAGATTACATTTGTTTATTTATCACATCACTTTGAAATCAGTGGTGATCCTTGCCTTCCTGTGGCAATCTACATCTGTTTGGCTTATAGCAGTGCAATTTTGCGCACGAATCGCTCTATTTTGCGTTTTAATCGCATGCCTTTTCCAGCCATTGAAAATGGAACACTAAAAAAATAGCAATCAGAATTCATGGCTTGCTTAAAGTAACCAAATAGGTTGCAGCAAAATGAAAATGAAAGACTCGACAAGCCATTTTGTGGCGAATTGTGCAACTCTTGTCGCAAAATCGTTCCTTAAAAAAAGATGAAAAGTCTTACCCTTAAATTAAAAATCACTCGATCTTGCAGTCAAGATCTTTTTTTTGTTTGAAATGTGCGTGCTATTTTCATGAAAGAGATGTTTTGTTGTTTGGTTTGATTTTAAAAGAGGTGGATAGCTGATATGTCTCATTTACGCTAGGAAAAACTTTATATTGGTTTAGTTTTCATCCTTTACGCAGCCTTTAGCAAAAATGAGGAGTTCTTTAGGAGTGTACAAACTTGGTAAACTAACCGACTTGAGCTTTTCGACCGAGGGCTAACGAGAAAACAAGAATTTTTTCATTTTTAGTAAATTTCTCAGATGTTTGTTAGGATATTGTCCACTTAGTCAACAACCTGAACTATTTAAGATAAGAGATTCCTCAGATATTTTCAGTGACCTGAACTACTTCATTTAAAGCAAAAGAGAATTGAGACCAGTCAGAAACAGCAACGCCAGGGCCTCTTTCTTCGTAACTGAAAAGCATTACAGCAAGAGATACAGTCGAAACTGTATCAAGTGGCACCTTAGTAAGCGGTCACCCTGTATATATCAGCGGTCGCTTTTCAAAGTCCCGAAATTGCTACCTTTAATTATTGAAATTTTCACCTTTGACTGAGTCCCAACAGCCTCTTTGTATTGTCCTCCACCTGAGAACCTGGCTGCGAGATAATCCTTACAACAAGGCTGTCATTTAAAGTAGGATGTCATCTAAGAGAAACTTTTGCGACCATTGTAAGGAATTTGTAACGTTGAGAACTTACAGGCTTCACGCTCATCTATATTCGATCAGAGCTAGCGAAGCAGTATATTCTTCGGAAGAGGAGGAAATTTCGCGTGATGATTCCGAAGATTTTCATGTTGAGCACCTGGCCTCTGGCGAGGCGGCGGGCGCAGCAGAGGTTATCGATGGTCAAGGAAACGAGACAACATTTTTAGGTACAAAGAGATTTTTTTACGTTTTGGGGGTCAGTGGGAGTTTCTGTGATCAGCCGCCATTTTATTAGATTGTATTTGTTGTAGTTCAAGTTTACTTTCCTTTGTTTCAAACTCATTATCATAGACTACCATACCCATAGACAAAGGAAAATAAAATTTGAACCAAGGATAAAATTGAACCACAACAAATATATCGTTGTTTCAATGTGTTTTTTAATTACCACTGATTGTCATTGATCATGACTACTGTATCATTGATTTTCATCAATTATGACTGATTATCATCAATTACCATCAATTAGCTTTTCATAGGCTTTCATCAAAAAAGGGTACTTCTCTAGGCTGGCTAAATGAAAGAAATTATGAACGTAATAACTGCTACTCCAATTAAAGCTACTTTAAGCCTGGTGCCAGTCATTCAGTCAAATGGTATAAAAGCTGCTAGGATTGGTGATTGATATTCTACAATAGCTGTACTGCACTTCGAAAAACCTCTTGAAAGAGAGTTGCTTTTCAGCTTGATTTATGTAATGCCTTGAGAAACTACTTCCAGTCATGTTTAATCAAAACAATTTCATGGCACTTTTCCATTTATAATTACCAGTAGCAAGGCAAAAAAAAACAAAGAGATCGCTCATCACATTTTGTGTTGATGAGCTAAAATTGGTAACTCAGACAGCTGGAAGCAACATGGGGTTTTTTGGGACAGCATTTGAAAGTCTAAGATGTCCATATGCAAGCTCTACTTCCCTCCACCCTCCATACCTTAGAGTGCTTGCTCACTGGCTACCCCTTTAGGATCCTCAACCTTATTAGAACAAAGTAAAATGATACTTGAAATGGTTTATTAAAATAAAACGCAATATTTCCTTACAGGACCTTCAGGCACAAATGTCCAAGAACTAGAAGAGGAGGATGCATTGTTAGTGCATGATATTTTGTCCTCTGAAATTGATGCTGACATGCTTTACCATGAAAGGATGGGACCAGAACTAACTCATCAAGTATGGAATCTTGATGATGACGATATTGACACAGATTTTCCAACTATTCCTGGACAGCTTCCTTCAGTCGATTTCAATCCTGCTCAAGGATTACGAGAGAGTATGAATAGCATTATTCGTTGGATTTTACTTTTCTTGTGCTTGTGGTCTTCCTTTTGTGTAATTTCAGATAATGCTCTAGAAATTCTTCTAGAATTTTTAAGAGCTGTTTTTGACAGTTTGGCAACAGTCATTCCTTCCATTGGAAGTTTTGCAGCATTATTCCCAAAATCCCTGCATTTATTAAAAAAACAACTTGGAATCGATAAGGATGAATTCATGAAGTATGTTGTGTGTCCAAAGTGTGGCACTTTGTACAACTTTGATGACTGTTATGCGTTCATGCTCAACGTGGACTGGTTTCAACCATTTAAGCATTCTTTGTATAGTGTTGGTGCTCTCTATATGGTCCTGATGAACCTACCATGATCGGAGAGGTTCAAGCCTGAAAATGTTTTATTAGTGGGCATAATTCCTGGTCCACATGAGCCAAAGCTAACCATCAATTCTTACCTGGAACCCCTTGTTGCTGAGCTAAACCTGTTGTGGAAAGATGGCATCACAGTGAGGGACCATGGAGCTTTGACTGGTGAAGTCTACCATGCTGCTCTCCTCTGTGTTGGTTGTGATGTGCCAGCTGCAAGGAAAGTGTGTGGTTTTACAGGGCATGCATCGTGCAAAGGCTGTTCAAAGTGCACAAGATATTTCCCTGGCTCAATGACAAGCAAAATTGATTTTTCAGGATTTGACTCACCTTCTCCTCCAAGAACCAACCACAGAGAAGAGGCACAAGAGATTTTGAACCAAACAAGTGCTGGAGACCAGGCACTGGAACAGAAGTATGGGTCACGCTACAGTGAACTGATGTTACTACCCTACTTTGATTGTGTGCGATTCCATATAATAGACCCCATGCACAACCTATTTACAGGCACTGCTAAACATTTAATGAAGAACATTTGGTTGAACGGTGACAATCCATTGCTCAAAAAGAATGATTTATCTATCATTCAAGAAAAGTTGGACAAAATTAAAGCACCATCAGACATTGGTAGAATGCCAAGGAAAATTTTGAATAGCTATGGAGGTTTTACTGCCGATAAGTGGAAGACTTTTACAACACTTTTCTCCATTTATGCATTATATGACATTTTATCAAAAACCAGACTTAGAACTATGGCGACAATTTGTGTTAGCATGTACTTTTATTTGTTCTCCAGTGATAACTGAAGCAAGAGCCTTGCTTGCTCACTCTTTTTTACTTAATTTCTGTCAAGGACTTGAACAACTATATGGCAAACACTGTGTGACTCCTAACATGCATCTGCATACACATCTTATTGACTGCATCCTGGACAATGGCCCGGTCTATTCATTTTGGCTCTTCAGTTTTGAACGATATAATGGTATTATAGGAGAGTATGGAACAAATCAGAGGTCAGTTGAAATACAGCTAATGCGGAAGTTTACATCAAACCAATTTGTAAAGGACTTGCCATTGCCTAGAAAATTTCAGGAACATTTTAAGCAAGTAATGGAAAGACTTGTTTCTAGACAGACGGGCAGCTTACAAGAATACTCTTCAAACGAAGGAAACATTTCCAGAAATGTAATCACACTGAGCATTCTTTCTATTGGACCTGTGCAGAAAGGTCCCACATGGTCAGCTGAGGATTCATCATTTGTTTGTTGTGGGCCTCATTACAGAGATTTCCTGGGTGAGGAGTCTCTCCCATATTTAAAAGAGTGCTACAGTAACATATTTGATAATGACATTACTGGTCATTTCAATAGATATGCTGTTTGTAAATATTCTGGAGAAAGATATGGCTCAAGCTTAACACGAGGAGACAGATCATCTTATATTCTTGCAAGGTGGTGTACTTTGGGAGGAAAAATTGACACAAGTGGAGGTGATCTCAGGCCTGGTGTCATTGAGTTTTTTATGGAGCAGATCATCATAACCAATGGGCAATCAGTTCGTTGCCTATTAGCTGTTGTGCGCTGGTTCCAGTCCCATCCCTCACGGCACTTGCTAGGTGCTCCAGTGGAGTTGTGGTGCAAGAATCTCTTTGAATTAGAAGGAGCAGCTACTTTTGTTCCAGTTAAGAGATTACATGGAAGGTTTGTTCCAGTATTTGACGTTATTCAACAAGAGCATGTGTTAGTAGTTTGTCCTTTACAGCGCAAACTACATGGTTAAGATGTGTCCATGAAAGAGTGATTTCATTTAACCTGAAAAACAACATCTAACAATAAATACTAAATAGTCAAATTGATCAAGAGAAAACAATATATGGAATCTGTAGTTGTCAATTGTATCTATTTTAGAAGAAACTGATATGAATATTTTACTGTTAAAGTAAAATCACCCTAACTCTCAGATGTACTATTATTTTTGCAGCAAGCAAGCATTCACCATTGCAATTTAACGGGAATGAATGACAAACATGAAATTTTCCAGACTTGTTTCACCATTTAAATGATACAAAAATATTTTTTAGCAACCTTTCACTTGTTTGAAAAATATTGCTGTTTTTTTTTCACTGTTAATTTTCATTTCATAGGATAATAATTATAGAGCTAGTAGACAGTAGTAGATCAGATGTTAATTGTCTCAACATTAATGAGCATGTATATGTTGAAGTCTCATCCCTGACCTCTCAAATGGTGAGATAACCATGTACAACTATTTCCATCACCCTATTTCCACCCTGAAATCTATTAAGATCAACTGAACTTACTATTAGACATACTGGTGACGAGTATTTGTGACAATGCGCATGGCTTATTGAGTTGTGGTAAGAGCATAATTTTAAAAATCATAACTGGCAAGCAAAGCCAACCCAGCATAGAATAGCTGTTTCTTGTATTTTCTAAAGCCCCTACAGGCTTACCATAAGCTTAAGGTATTAAATAAGTCCTAAAAACAGTCTAATATATCATATTTTGTTGCTATTTCATTCAGTCTAGGCCAATAGATGAATCAAACCAGGTGAAGGAAAAAAAGCAGGCACCTGGTGTTTTTTCTTCTGACCTACCACTTACACATGTAAACAGAAATCATCTCAGCAATGTTAAAGATCTCAAGAGTTCTGCAAACCAACCACTGCTACTAGGATGTGGGGTCTTTGGAAGATGCTATAAAATGTATTACAGAGGGATGTCAGTTGCTGTCAAACAATTTAACAAGCATCTCTCATCAGAGTTCGATGTTATTAAAGAAGCATCACTGATGAAACAGTTGGATCACCCCTGTTTCCCCTTTGTTTATGGTATTTGTACAGAAAGCAAACCTTATCTGTTAGTAATGCAGTTTTGCAGTGTGGAGGGAAAAGCATACACCCTTCACAGAGCATTACAGAGCCATACCTTGTTATTAAAAAATCAAGAGTGGTTTGATGTCATTTTGCAGCTTCTGGAAGCTTTCAAACTGTTACACAGCAGTTGCCTGATTCATCAGGATATTAAAGGTGACAACATCTTGATTACTTATAACAATACAATGTTTGTGCCAATAATAATTGATTTTGGAAAGTGTATTAGAAAACTGGATGCTTGTAAAAAAGTTTTGTCCAAAGAAGAACAAGAGGCATACAAACAAAAATACAAACACATTGCCCCTGAAGTTGTGGCAGGCACTCATCTACCATCATATGCTAGTGATGTTTATTCCCTTGGCCTCCTGTTGGGGCAGATTGCAACCAAGATTGGATGCAAGTCCCTTCTGTCTCTCAGTAAACACTGCTTAGGGAATAACCCACAGGCCAGGGCTTCATTAGATTACCTCATGGTAAACATTCTGTCATTACAGACATAATTTTAAGATCTTGGTATCAAATTTCAAACTTCATATCTACGTTGTTAATGTATAATTATAGTGATAGCAAATTAATCATAATAGTAAATTTATATAGTGCTGATACTATAAAATAATATTCGAAAGCGCTCAACAATAAGAGAAAAATTAAAATAAGATTGAAAATGAAATATCCAAAGTATTGTTCATAAATTAAATTTAAAATTAAAACTCTACAAGTGCTTTATAATTTTTTATTTGTCTGTATCACAAGAAAGCATAGCCAACAGTAAAACAGCATGGAATAACCCAGAGATACATAAGGTGGCTCCATCTTGTGTTACAATAACATTATGTATTGATAAGGAGATTCTTCTGTAAGGATACCAATACAATCTTTTTAGCGTGTCATTAAGGATACCAACATTTTACTTATCATTTGAATTAAGGTGGCTGTTACTTGTGTTACATGTAGTTTAGGAGATTCATAACAAAGGATAACTGCATATCTTTTTCTTGTGTTAGTATTTTGGTTTTGGAGTTCTATCATTAGGGATACCAACCTTTTTTTACTTATCATTTGATTTAAGGTGGCTCTTTCTTTTGTTATAATTAAGTATAGGGGATTCATCACTAAGGATACCGACATATTTGTACTTTTCATTAACCTCTTTATCTGCATTAGCTATTGCCTTAGCGACATCAACACACCTTATTTGATGAGATATCATAGCAGCCTGGGAATAAGTAGTAAGTTCAGACAGTCAAATCAACAAATCAGTGTGGCTACCTTTTAAAAATTAACCTGCACTAAACTTTGTAACACAGAAATTGGTATCATTTATACAAAAAGCCACTACAGTAGCCTAATTCTGAAGTGTATAATAATTTTTCAATTCTTTAGTCATGGTTTCACATTTCAAAGTATGTGGAAGCTTGTAGTTGCCCAGATGTTTCATCTTTAGGCAGCACACCAGGACAGATGTGTCATCTGTTAAGTTAGCAGAAACCTACTATGTAATGTGAGACTGAATATGGATTTAAAAAGCAATATGATTGCTAGAAATGTACCCTTTTCCAGACTCCTCACTGTGGAAAATTTGCATGATGTCAGCAAGAAATTAAATTCAAAGAGTTGTTGGGTAAACTGCAAAATTTCTAACTCCAATTCACAAGCCAGTTCTCATTGCAGAGTATGTGGAAGCTTGTAGCTGCCCAGATGTTTCATCTTTAGGCAGTGCACCAACAATGGGACAGGACAGATGCGTCATCTGTTAAGTTAGCAGAAGCCTACTCTGTACTGTGAATCTATTACAAATACTATGCACTTTGTCTATGCATGTTGATTATGGAACCACAGCTCATTTTTCCAATGAATGTTGTGGTTAAATAATCTCCCTTAGTGGTCTTTTTTTTTTTTTAGAAAACCAGCTCTGGACCAGTAAATACAGTGGGTTCTACCTTTTAGATATTTATTGAAAGCAAGAAAAATGACATAATTTTACTCGATTGGAAAAGTAGAGTAGCAAGGTGTAATAAATTGAGGTGGCTCTTTCTTGTCTTACGAATTTGTTTTAATTAGGAGATTCATCACAAATGATATCAACACAATTTTTTTGTGTTACAATTTTGGTTTGGGATTTGTATCACTAGGGATACCAACATTTTTCCGTGTCATTTGAATTAAGGTAGCTTTTCCTTGTATGACAATTTAGTTTAACACACTAAGGATACCAACATCTTTTTAGCTTTTCTTTTACCTAATTTATTTTTGCCTATTTAATAAGATATCAAAGCAGCCTGAGAATAAGTACAAAGTGTGAATAGAAATTACAAATATATTATTATTACATACATTACAAATCAGAGGCTCAAAATGGAAATTACAACAAAATAATACCTGTATTAATTCCAATCTTTGTAAAAATAAATCTAAATGCTCTCCGGGGGGGGGAATGTTCATCCACCCCATGACATGTGTTTATTATTTACACCTCTTGTAGTTTGCCATAATAGACAGATTCAGCTAACGTGTTGACATCCTTGTTGCCACCCAATTCAGACCATGAAATAAATCATTTGGAAGGTTACAACTGTGCAATTTGTCATGCAACTGATTCTATGGGGGTATGTACGAACAGAACAATTGTAATCTCGTAAATGATTCATCACATGATTTGAATTGGATGTAATACAAGGATGTAAACCCTTTAGCTGAATCCATCTATTGCAAATTCTTGTTTCTTTGAAGAGCCCATTTTTCAGTCGCATGCGTTGACTTCATTTTGACGCAAACCATCCTGCTTTTGATATGTAAACAGAATTGTTCTTGTGTTATAGTTTGTATCATAACAATGTCAACTACAACCCCCACTTAGCACAACTTCTAAAAAATTCCCCTAAGAGTCTCCGTGCAAAAAAAAAAATGCCAAAAGTCAACTAAGCCCCAGTGGTGAAAGAAATCTAAATGAATGAGTACCACTAAAATTATGAGAGTGTGTACAATGTGCGAGGCATGCAAACCAGGATCCCTAACCCCAATGAAAAGACTAACCGTAAGCTAACTTAGGCAGACCAGAGTTCCACTTAGACTAAACAGAGCGCTATTTAGACTAACCAAAGTTTAGTTTAAGCCAACCGGAATGATTCGCAAGCTATGCGAGTCAGAAACCCTAGTCCCTAGGGCTAGCCGCAAGCTATGCCAACCAACCGGGGTGCTTTTTTGGATTAACCGATGCGTTATTTAGGCAAACCTAATCATGTTTCGGGTCAATCTGATCGAATAACCTAAATGTCACAAGTAAAATCGGTATCCAGTTACCTCGCCACCAAGCAGACTCGCCACCAGCGAACTCGCCACCAAGGAAAGATCTCGCCACCAACATACTCGCCACCAACATACTCGCCACCAACATACTCGCCACCAAGCGAAGTCTTCTCGCCACCAACCACCAATAAAGAGATTAGTCGAGGAGAGTAGGATGTTCGGCTGATAAGTTTGTTCGCTTGTCTGTACTCAAACTTTATAAACGTATGTTGTCGAAAGCACGTTCGAAACCGATAAGTTTGTTCGCTTGTCTGTACTCAAACTTTATAAATAATCTAATCCGATCATCTGATCTCGCTCTCGCTTACGAATACGACACGATTACGAATACGATAAGCTCTTCATCATTCTTCGTTATGTCTTCAACTGACAATTGCATCGTCTGCAAAGAAAAATGTAGACCGAGACAAGAAGCCCTTCAGTGCGATGGCTGCAATCTATTGAACCATAGAACCTGCAACACCGGTGTATTCTAGTTTATCTCTTTATTGGTGGTTGGTGGCGAGAAGACTTCGCTCGGTGGCGAGTACGTTGGTGGCGAGATCGTTCCTTGGTGGCGAGTTCGCTGGTGGCGAGTCTCCCTGGTGGCGAGGTACCGTCATTATTGGTTAGTTATGTCTGATTTATTATTTATTTATTATGTCTGATTTATGTCTGATTTATTAGGCGTAACTGAGCCTTGTGCTACACCCAATTTATGTTGGTTGATTTTGGTTGGAAGGATGAGAGAAGAGACAGGTTTTAAGACTTATCTTTGACTTTTTGGATATTCAATTAAGCCTTGCCTGGGATCTCCATGTACCTTCTTGGGTTTACAGAGCCCGCAGTCACCCGGCCATTTGCTCTCTTTGCAAGATTTCTTGTTGCACGCGTTATTAGAAAATTTCTTGCACATCACTTCAAAGTCAGTGAAAAGTCAGGGAATTTTACCTTCAGGTTGCCGCATGAGTTTTATTAGGATTTTTTGCATCGAAAAGGCAATTTTGTTTCAAAATTACATGTAAAGCATCTTTATTTTTGTTGATTCACGGCCACAATACTCATCCTGCGGGGTCAGCGAAAATCGCTTTTCAGTTAGTGAAAAGTCGGTATTTCTTTTTATTCCGGTGGGTGTGGACCCTTTGCGAGGTTTTGAGTAGTTTTGTGAACGAACCACAGTTTGTAATCGATAATATATGATTTGTTAATGTTTTGGATTGAAACGGTAATGAGATAATTTCAAAATAGGACGTATAAATATGAGAATAACGGTTGTAAATTCATCGAAGATGACCATATTTGCATAGATGGCAAATGTGAGATTACACGCGCAAATTTGTTGGTTTGATAGTAATACAAATTTAGTGTATATGAGCATATTTGCTCCTTTAGCAAAACATGAATAAAACACGTGCAAATGTTTTTATTTGAAGCCTCGACAACGTTTGTAAAACAATGATGCAAACAAATGGATTTACACCATATTTGCCTACATTTTGTGCTGTAAGCAAACTTAATACTTTGCAAATAGAGCAAATCTGTATAAATGTAAGTCAAATTTGTTGATTTGCGGAGGTATCAAAAACAAAGCAAAGATAAAGTAGATATCATATTTACTTCACATTTGCGCGCAAATACAACGGGAATAAATATCTGTATTTGCATCATCATTGCTTTCATTGCGAATTTAGGTCAAATCTGGAGGCCTAAATTTGCATCATATTTACTTCAGTTGCAAATCTGTTTAAATCCAATTTTTCGTGCAGTGTTTGTAGACGACAGCAAAAGCGCCGTTACCAAGTCGCTGTTGGATATTCACTATTTTCTCACCTACTTGAAGCCTTGTTGGAAGGTTAGTTTGGGCCATTTGAAAGTCGCTTCGCAGAAGTTACCTAGCTATGCAGACACAAAATGTAAATGATAGTCACAGCTTCGATTGACGCTGGATCGTTTTCCAGGAAAAGCAAAGTAAGTCCGTTAGGGCTTCCCTAATGCGAGCTCAGTAGCGTGCATTGCGGCCTTTTGTGATGTTTTATTTCCGGTTATGAAGGTACTGGTTGAACCCCATAACTTGAGCGGGTTGACAAATATCAGTAGTGTAGGAATTGGCGGGACGAGATCAATTACCAACTCATATGCTACGTTCCTGGTGTTGGTTATCATTTTTCGGTTTAAATTCAAGTGCGTTTAAATATTCACATAATCGAACGAAACAGGAAAAAATCGACTTTCTGTGACATTCTCGGAAAAACGGGAAGTTTGAACATGTCTATCGTTTTTCAGGTCATATAATAGCTGCATGATTTTTTCCACCAATCAGACGTCACATTTTAGCTTAACAATTTTGAAATTTTTCAGTGAAACTTTTATTTATTTCACAGTGTGAAGATTTTGGGTATATTGGATCTAAAAAATCTCTTATAATATTATTGCATATGTATCGCAATGATGAAATTCATGAAGAATTTAAAACACTTGGTGATGTTGTAATAAAATATGTGGTTTTTGTTCATCGTGGTGTAAGTTAGGAGATGAACTTTACTCGTTTGTCTCACGATGGAGTCACTTTGGATGTTGATCACGACGTTTCGACTGCAATACTGCTAGTCTTCATCACCGCATTGCAGTATTCCCAAGACTTTGGAATAATTACCAAGTAGTTGTTGAAGAGAGTAACAGAATGGGCAGGCAAGTATTTTACTTATGAAAAATAATACTATCCTGTCCCTCACACCAGCACGGAGTTTGCAAATGTTAACTTTATGCCACCTCTACCTTCAGAAGAGATCAACCTCAAGACTCAAAGTGCTATGATAGAATTTGTGGAGAAGTATCGTCCGCTGAGGCAATGGACAGTTCGGGAGGAAACTACCAAGGACAAGGCAGGGGCTTTACCACTGGCCGTCTACACGAGGAAACAAGATTCCACCAAAGTGGACTTATAGGCAGAACTAGGGAACGATTTTAACTCTGGAGATCAGCCAGTAGGGCTCAATAGCGACAAAGGAGCCGTTCTAGCGATTTCGGAAGGTGGGAATGTGACAGATGTGATATGTGTTGACGACTGTGTCGTTGAAGTGGCAGTTATTAAGTTGCGAACATATGCAGACGAATATGACTCGCACTCACAAAACGACTCTTCTGACCGATAGGATGAAGATGTTACCCAAATTACGGTTTCTAGATCCAGGTGGTCAATTCGCGCCCATTTTCGCTGGGATTTCTAAGGTACGCCTACAGTAGATATCTCTAATAACCTAATTGAAAAGTAGACAAAAGAGTATTCCTTTCCGATCATTTTATCGGAGTCAATCGCAATCGACGCATTGTAAAACAAAACGTAAAACCGATATATTGTGCGTGAGGACTCTTCACAAGTTTGTTGTCTTTCCAATCATCTTCTTTGCAACATTTTGACCGGCTTAGTGGTTGGAAAGGAATGTTTCAATGTTGCGCGCGGGCAGCAGAAGTTTGTATGCAGAAGAGACGTAACTTATTTAAACACCCTTGAAACAAAGACTGAAAGTCACTTGGAAGATCTTGGAATTATTTTACTTCAGAAGGAGTTCTTATTACATTAATTCTCGACTTAATTTTCGATTTTACTCTATATGTGTCTTTTTAGTCAAATATAGGGTCTGAAAGTAATAATTAACTCGCCAAGTTAATTATCAACAATCATTTGACTGACAACTGACAACTGACTTGAAATCTAACTGAGAACTGATAAATGACCGAAATTTAAACTGACAACTGACATTTGTACCCCCAATCCAGACCCTCCTAGCAGTATTGCAGTCGAAACGTTGCGATCAACATCCAAAGTGACTTATTACAAAATTAATCACACAACGTTTCGACACTCCTCTCTTGTTCCTTCATCAGGGGTGATCTAAACGCTGCAACAGGAGGTCCTTTTATACGCTCACTAATTAGCTGTCCTTTTTTGTTACGAGGTGTAAAATAGGCGTCAGGAAGTAAACCGTCATCATCACGATTTAAAGGAGCGTAGGCGGAGTTGATATGCCAGGCTTCCAAACAAGGGCGCTGGTGGTGATAATTATTTTTAGACTTATCCCACCTTATACCACAGCTCTTTCAAACGTGTACCAAACTAATTTTTGGTCAGTCCGATATACTCGTTATTATAGTCATTGCACGGAATAGAATATATTAAATAGCGTCGGTTCGTTGTTCTTTCGTGACAGGATCCTTAGGTTTGGCAAAAATATGCCCAAAGTCTGAAAAGGTTTTTTAGCACCTTTGACGCAGTGACTATTCAAAATTCTCTTGATAGGTTCCGTAACACCCTGAATCTAGGGAATAAGAGCAAACCAGTCGCTGGTTCCCTCTCATCAGGAGTGCTAATAGTTGTAACTGGTTTTCGGCAGTTACGGAGAAATGTTTTGGTGTTGCCATTCGCCTTTAGGACATTAGAGGCATATTTCCTCTCCTTCGAATCGAGTGAAGATGGTAGACAGTCAGCCCTCCTGAGTAAAGTTTTGGCTACAAACTTTTTATGGCAAATGGGGTAGTGAGGATTGAAGGCGAAGTATTTGTCGGTGTGGGTAGGTTTACGATAGACACTTGTCTCTGAGTTCCCCTGATCCCCTCTGTACACATTTAAATCAAGAAATGTCTATAAATAGGCGAAGGATTGTGTAATTTATGAGAATGAATCCCTTAAGAATTCCAGGAAAGACTAGCAAAATTATCACCTGAATACAATCCTATCTAAAATTTCAGTCTACTCTAAACGAAATGTGAAGACCAGGAGATCTCAGTCATTCACTACGTGACTGAACTACAGAACGTTTAATCAATTTTGTCTATTTATTACCAAACGTTGTATACTTGGAGGCTGCATAAAACTGAAAAAAATATTTCATTCATCTTCTCAACCTCAACCCAACCAACCTCAATTTTGCTGCTTTAGTTATCACATCAGTAACCTAGTGTTACCTTGCAGTAACAAATTATGTGAATGTATGAAACGTTCTTCATCTCTTAACAGAAAATAAATTGAGCATGGTTACCGTTTTAAGAAAGTAAAGTGTTGTTTGCTGACGGTCTAACGATAAGGTCATGGTGATTCTAATGGGGAATCTTCGCTTAAGAACCTAAAGAGCCATTCCAGATCCAAGTCTTCAGTCTCTTCTAACGTATTACATAGCTCGACAGCGCTCGGTCGATCATCAGGATCGTACTGTAAAGCCTCGATGACTAACCTCTGCACATCCCTGGAGCCCTGTGCGCGTCTGCAAAATGTTATGTCAGTTCCTGGATTGTACATTGCCATTGCAACCCCAAGGCCAACTTTTCCAACACCGCGAATACGTTTAAATGCACCGTAATACATTTTTCCGTTGCTTTCTTTGTAATCTCGTTCTAGGATGGCAAAAAACAGCAGGCCAAGGGAAAAGACATCGGCTTTTTCTGTGTAGTGACCTGTGACACATTCAGGAGCTAACCAGTACGGCGTGCCAACTTCGGAGTCCATGTAGTATTGTACGAACATTTGCATCCACGAGCCATCGTTTCTTCGCCCGTCAACTCGTCTAAGCGCGATGTACTCACGAGCCAGGCCAAAGTCGGCTAGTGTAACATTTCCACGTCTGTTCAAAAGTACGTTTTCCGGTTTTAGGTCGCGGTGAACCACGTCATTTCTGTGAAGGTAGGCTACGGCATCAGCAGCTTGACTCATCCACTTCCAGTTGATTCGTTCAGAGCTTGGTCGAGCGAGGCGTTCGTTTAAGTTTCCACCCGCGCAATACTCTGTCAAAATCAACATGTGCAAGTTGCTTTGATTGTCGACGAACCGATCCGCTCCCTTTATGGCGATGATGTTTTCGTGAGAGATTTGGCACAGTGTTACTGCCTCACGGATTGCATCAAGAACTTGTGAAGCGTTTAGGCAAAGAACATCTTTTAAGGCATAGACTTTAGAGCGCGCCTCGTCTCTTACTTTGTAGACATCTCCAAATGCACCACTACCAAGGTGCTGTTCAACTCTCACTGTTTTGTCGCCCACACGCAGTCTTGGGGGAAGATCAATCCAGGCTTGTTGCATTTCGGGTTTTTTAGGCCACAACTGTTCTCTTTATTTTTATCCGAAATGTCAATTTGACGAAAACAACGCCGCGTTCAGCCGCTGCGAAACAGTTGGTTCTGATTTCTCGGAAAAAAACAAAGTTGCCAATTGATTCGACACAAGGGAACTTACAGGGGTGGTGTTATTTCAATGGTACTCGGTATGAAGGCAATATTTTGATCGTGCATGAATTTACCTGGTGGATATTCAATAGAGGAAGTCTTACAGTATCGTTATTCAAAGCTTGGATATGTTTTAGTTGCCTTGGTAGGGATTAATTCGTTGTAAACGGAAGACCCACCCCCCCCCCCCCCCCAGTCTTAAAATGCAATGTTTTCCGAGAATTCATATCCAAAACTAGACGATCGAGTAGCGTTCACTTGGGCCTCGTATCGAGCGTTTTACTTGAGCATTCACCGCTGGATAGTTTGGTATAATTGAATCTAAGCATGTCTCGCATACTGGGGCTCTATATTCATTTAAGGGGTCATCATTTTCTTCTTCGTTACTATTTAATTTATCATTTTCTCTTGCATCGATCATACTCCAATGCAGGACCACTATCTGTTGTTACATTGTTTGATGTAGCTTGTTGATGTGTATCATTATCGTCTGCATCATTTTATAAAGTTGTGAGGTTGCTATCAATATTGTTAATATCAACTAGTATATCTTTGTACAATGATTATGTACTTTGAGCCAGTTAAGAACTTGCTGTATTAACTCTGGTCGTGATGCTTGAAAATAAACATGTCCTCTAGATTGTAACTTTCTTTTAAGCTAAATAAGTATTATTATACAAGATCTATCAGGTGGATGAGGGAGTTGATTACATGTCTGATCACATTCTACAGGTACATTGCATATTGCACCCTTAATTTTTCTCTGTTGTCCTTTGCGCTTGACCACAATCTTCTCAAATATTATTTGTTGAGCTATTGGTATTTGTCGTAGTTTTTCTAATGAGGATAGTTCTGTGGGTATTTCATCCACATACATATTCCCATTCACTACAGCCTGACACGGTAAATTTCCTTTTATGACCTTTGACTGACATGTGTTGCATATATACTGTTTTCCATAAAATGACGGTTGAATATTGAAATATGTTTGGCAAGGGTTCTTCTCCTCTAGGCATGTAATTACTGATTTCTTATAAAGTATTCGATTACAGACAGTACATATAAAATGAGGGCCTTCTCTTATTTTCGTCTTAAACTGGTTAATACACAATTCAACTGATCTGGCTTTCACTAATTTCTCATTGAGTTGAGAAAGTAATCCTTTCTTCTTTCTAGCATCCATAGTTGAATATTTTCTTTAAATGTCTTCTAGAAACCTTTCTTTGGCAACAGGTTCTATGCTGTCATACAAATGTTTTTTCCTCTGTTTTCTCATGATGTGTTTCCTTCAATTTCAGTAATTTTACATGAACAGCAGATAAGTTGTATATCATATTCCATAGTTTGACATTCCTGTTTATTTTGAATAATATTGTTAATTTCCTCTACTAGATTATCTACACTACAAATGTGTATTGTCTGTTTCATTGCAGGTGAATGACTGTCTTCTTATGTCAGAGGAGAAAACAATTGCTTTACTTTTGTATTTTGTTGATAAATAAAAGCTATACAGTAACTTGAAATCCACATTAAAAAGCTTGTTTTCCCAGTGTGGTTCCTTAAGATCAAGGTCTCTTAAGATATTCTGCTCTCAGTTAAATTACTTGATTCTCTGTGACTTACTTCATTAATGTGTACATTTATGTTAGTGCCAAAAATTGTAACACTGTCAAGCAGGGTAACAGATATTAAGCAGTACTTACTCTGCATTGTACTGTTAAGCTGAGATCCATTTTTGATAATTGCATTTAAGGTATTTGGGTTCTAGTAATTACAAGGTGAAATGATTAAGTAAGGTAGAATAAAGAACTACTGCAAAACAGTGGACTTTTTAACACTTGTGTTGACTTGATATCTCTTTAATACCTCTCTTACATTGCTGCTAATTGCCACATCATATTTTGTAATTTGTTAACCTTTTAGTTCATACAGATCAGTTGCTCCATTTAAACTTTGAAAGTGACGCGCTAAGTTGTCTGTAGATGATAAATCTAATAGACCACAGGTCCCTCAAGTGTGACTTTTACCATAAACATCTCTAGCATGTGAGTCAAACACTTTAAAATGGCCATTATCAGCACAGTAACTAATACCCACAGCAATGCATCCAACCACTAAAATATATGACCTATATCATTCTGATATCAATGACTCAAAAGCTCTCTTCAGGCCCATACAGTATTGATATCCCTCAATGGTAGGCTCACCATGGACATTACCAAGGTAACTTAAAATCACTTAACAATTGGTTCATACGTCAGCGTGCGTTCATCGAGATATGAAGCACGCAGGAAGTTTGGAGAGAGATGCTCTCCAAAACTTCCCAAGTGCTTCATATCTCGATGAACGCACAGATGACGTATGAACCAATTGTTTTATAACATTTTCAACCCCATGGAAAATTTTTTTTCTCAAGGGATTTGTTTGCTGACATCAAGAGCGTGCACAATAGGAATATGAAGCACGCTCGCGCAATTGAATTTGATTAGACAAATTTACCAGTTATGTTATAATGTATTCTAGCTGATAATCTTCCTCTAGTACTGTAAGCATTGATGGTAATTCTGTTAGCAGTAAAAATGATTGTCTTAATAATTGTGACAAACTGCTATATAGTTGATTTCCAATATGCATTATTTGTTTCAAGTCATTGGGATTGCCTATTCCTTTCATATTGTGGTACATTAATGCACATAAACTCATTGCAACACATTGTTGCCCAGGGTTTTGTCCAAATACAACAACATCCCCCTGGCTATATGGTGCTTTTATTGTTTTCCTGGGATCCACAAGGTGCATACAAGGAACTGGGTTTTCTCTATATCATTATAGAGCTTGTTCTTTTTACAATTTCCTCTGTGAGTTACACCCTTGAACTCACTATATGGAAAATTTCACAAAAGGAACCTTAAGTATTTGAGATATTTCTTTTCATGTTTATCTCTACTTGAATTGTAGACATATCTCATCGAAGAGTTAACGTTTCTTGTTCTAAAAATTGGTTTCCTTCTCATTTTTTTGTACAAACCTGATTCTTGTTTTTTTTTTTCCATGTTGCATTATTTTTAATAAGATCATGGACTTTCGATGACTTTGGTACGTTTTTACCTAAACGGCTCCGTACATAACTTAGCAGTTTTCTAATTTTCTGAGAGAGACGTTTTAACATCCTCACTAGTAATCTGCTTGGTTCACGATCACGTTTATAGCCATGGCATTCACACACAACACGAGTGCGATTATAATATACAGACGTTGCACAACGAGATCTGAATTGTTTTACTTTTATTGACACTGTAACATCATTATGTTCATGTACAATAGTCATATTGACAACTTTTTCTTGTAGGTCACAGTCACCAAGAGTATTCACGATCACTTGTACAATAATAGTGATTGTGTAAGAAATACCAAATCGTACTTTACAAGTATTGAACCCAATAAAAACCAATAACAGAAACAAGATATTTAACGGAAGAGCTAAGCTCAGATATTCAACCTTACCATTCAAGTTGCTTAATTCTGTCAGTATCCTTATCCAATTCGCTGTCGTTAGCGTCACCTTCGCGGTAGTTAGATAACGGCGTAATATGTGACTAACACAGTCTATATACTGTAAGATTTTACGCCACTAACCCAGTCGGTGATTTAATTATAATAAATTAAAATATAATTAAATCATTTTACTGGCGTGAAATGTTACATATATATTTATCACCGACTGGAAGAAATTACGCCGTTAGTTACTGGCGTAAAATCGTACATATAAACACAACCGACTGGAAGAAATTACGCCGTTAGTTACTGGCGTAAAATCTTCCATATAAAGCAACCGACTGCAAGAAATTACGCCGTTAGTTACTGGCGTAAAATCGTACATATAAACACAACCGACTGGAAGAAATTACGCCGTTAGTTACTGGCGTAAAATCTTCCATATTGTTTCCTTACTCGGAACTGATTAGATCAAGTGACCACCACAAACCGTATAATATTAAGCCAAGCTTTAATAATTATTCGATCTAAAAGAAATACATTCATAATTCGCAATTAGAACAAACGCAAATCAAGTCTTTATCTTGTAACTGAATTAAAAAACTTCAATATAAACTTACTTCTGTGGCGGGTCGTTACAACAGTCTCACTTTACGGGTTAGCAGATTCTCCAGGTAAGCGGATTTAGAGACAGAAAAACGATAACAAAATAACTTCTTTCTCACTTCGATTCTGCTGAAAAACTGACTTAAACATAATAATCTAACGCTTTTAAATCAATCTATTGAATTAATGTCAATCACGATTCTTGTCATCGAATAAATCTGTCAACACGAGGCAACGCCTATTTATTAAACGAAACACATATAAAGCAACCGACTGCAAGAAATTACGCCGTTAGTTACTGGCGTAAAATCGTACATATAAACACAACCGACTGGAAGAAATTACGCCGTTAGTTACTGGCGTAAAATCTTCCATATAAACACAACCGACTGCAAGAAATTGCGCCGTTAGTTGTTGGCGTAAAATCTTACATATAAAACAACCGACTGGAAGAAATTACGCCGTTAGTTACTGGCGTAAAATCTTCCATATAAAGCAACCGACTGCAAGAAATTACGCCGTTAGTTACTGGCGTAAAATCGTACATATAAACACAACCGACTGGAAGAAATTACGCCGTTAGTTACTGGCGTAAAATCGTACATATAAACACAACCGACTGGAAGAAATTACGCCGTTAGTTACTGGCGTAAAATCGTACATATAAACACAACCGACTGGAAGAAATTACGCCGTTAGTTACTGGCGTAAAATCTTACATATAAACACAACCGACTGCAAGAAATTACGCCGTTAGTTACTGGCGTAAAATCCTACATATAAAACAACCGACTGAAAGAAATTACAACATTAGTTACTGGCGTAAAATCTTCCATATAAAACAACCGATTGGAAGAAATTACAACATTAGTTACTGGCGTAAAATCCTACATATAAACACAACCGACTGGAAGAAATTACGCCGTCAGTTACTGGCGTAAAATCCTACATATAAACACAACCGACTGGAAGAAATTACGCCGTCAGTTACTGGCGTAAAATCATACATATAAAACAACCGACTGGAAAAAATTACGCCGTTAGTTACTGGCGTAAAATCTTCCATATAAACACAACCGACTGCAAGAAATTACGCCGTTAGTTACTGGCGTAAAATCGTACATAGAAAACAACCGACTGGAAGAAATTACGCCGTTAGTTACTGGCGTAAAATCTTCCATATAAACACAACCGACTGCAAGAAATTACGCCATTAGTTACTGGCGTAAAATCTTCCATATAAAACAACCGACTGGAAGAAATTACGCTGTCAGTTACTGGCGTAAAATCGTACATAGAAAACAACCGACTGGAAGAAATTACGCCGTTAGTTACTGGCGTAAAATCTTCCATATAAACACAACCGACTGCAAGAAATTACGCCATTAGTTACTGGCGTAAAATCTTCCATATAAAACAACCGACTGGAAGAAATTACGCTGTTAGTTACTGGCGTAAAATCGTACATATAAACACAACCGACTGGAAGAAATTACGCCGTTAGTTACTGGCGTAAAATCTTCCATATAAACACAACCGACTGCAAGAAATTACGCCGTTAGTTACTGGCGTAAAATCGTACATATAAACACAACCGACTGCAAGAAATTACGATTTATGATTTTTCTGCCTTAAAATTAGCACAGCCAAACCCCTGGCTTGAAAACTATTAATTTCTGCAAATACTCTAAGCCAATGCCCATTACTGCAGAATATGTGATGTCAAAGTCCCCTTTTGACTTAAGTCTCATTTCTCTAAAATCTGATAGATGTAAATCATCCATTTTCATAAAGAGATCAACAAACCTCTTCACATTAGTTTAATCTGACTTCACTAAGTCTTATTCCTGAAAAGAGAAGGCTTTTTGAAATATTTTGTTTTTTATCCTCTCTGTTAAATATCAGCCTTACTGGTTCTTTGTTGTTTGGCATGTGTAATAGTCTTTTCAGACCGTCAAGTTGTCACACAACTCTTGTAATTTAATAGGTTGGAGAATAAGGCTGCAAAGAGTGTATACGATTTTTTGTACAGTTGAAATGATAAATGATAGTGATTTTTACTGGATAATAATTGATTTATTTAGCTATTCATCTTACAACTGGAAGCCCAAACTAGTACTTGTTTTCATTCACAATTTCCCCACATCATCGATCATATCTGATGATATTTCCGAGACTAATGATTGAAAAGACTTCATCTTACTCTGATAAAATCCATAATTATTCCTCCATTTCTAACCAGATGGAGCTACCATATCTCTAGCATTAGCATTGTCTTATCTTTCTTTACTCAACTTTTTTTTCTACATACTATCGTCTTTCTTCCAGCGCTTTTACGCTGCAGTGACTGCAATGTGATTTGTTATTTTGGTCATTTGCACTGTGGAGTAATTATTTTTTGCTAAATTGTTAATATCTACCTGTTTTCTCGAAAGCTGTATTTCAGACAAGCAACAAAGGCAAGGTCATGTTGAGAGAATTTCCACTTTGCTAGCTCAGTCTGATCTAATTGTGACTCAGTTGAACTGAAGTCAGAGCTTTCTTTGCGTGTTTAAACTTACTTCCATTTTGGGTTACCCCAACTTTAGTTTGAGCTCTTTGCCAATTACTCGATCCAGTAAGGCTGAAAGATCACAGACATGACTCTTGTACTCATTCTAAGTTTTAGCAGGTCTTTGTGAAGTATTCTGTTCTGGAATTCTATAATGGCTCCACAAAAATTTCTTCATTTTGAATTGCGTGGTATTGAAGTTCTTTACGGTTGGCTGACACAATTGCATGGGCCATCCGTTGTGAAACAGTGTCTCTCTACACTAAGAAACCGAAAGAAATTTATGCATAGGATTGGACTTTATTAAGGGACGAATTATCAAATTACACCATAGTTAAAGTTCAATTTCTAGGAATAACTTCCTTGTTTGTGAACGTGAATATTTCAGCTTGAGAGCTGTGATTCACGAGTTACTGAGGTGTGTCCATTGGATTAACTTTCATTTAAATATGTGTTTTGAGATTTATCTCTTGAAAATGAGTTGCCCATGCAAGAACTTACGAAACGAATACATATAGCGTTTTCCAAGAATTGAATCCATATCAAAGGAAGTGATTACCACTTCAGGATTTGCCTCAGGCAAATGGAAATGAAAGCAAACATGGTGAGACACGATCAGTATTTATGCTACATATATATCTGTTAAGGGAACAACGTAGAAACTCAGAAAAGTATATTTTTGATAACCACAGTTTTAATATGCAATTCTGCGTTGAGATCATTTCTTAGGTTAGCATTAAGTGATGTACGTATAAGCCTTAGCTGGTCACCCGAGCGAAGAGAGAAGAAGATACATCATAGTACCATTTCAAACGATGAGAGATTTCGCCGCCGCTATAACAGCTCCTTTTGCTCAAGAAAAACATTTATTATGCTTTTATAGCTCATCAGTGGCTACTACCTCAACTGCTTAGGTCAACATTTTGACTCTTTCCGGTCAGGCCTTTGGCAGATCATGCAAAATTGCACGATGACGTTGACCTTTTCGGAAATGCTCGGATTACATCCGATCGCTCTGAAATTTCGGCTGTAGCATGTAAACATTCTAAGCCAATCACATGGCGAGTTTTAGCTCCGAACTATCAAACGTGACCTCGGGAGCCCGATCCGAAAATTATTTGCGTACGATTTCAGTCTGCGATAATGGCGTCCGATGCGAAACGCTAGAGATACAGCGTAGCTAAGCCTTTAGAGGTGATTTTTGACGATGGAAGTGAGCATGGTGGTATCTCTAGTGGTGAGGAATCCGAATTAGATAGAAAACTGGAAAATCTTAGCGAAGAATCGAGGTAAGTAATCTGTAAACATTCTTGCGATATTTAATTGCGTGACACATGTGGTGTTGAAACATTTACTTTTACTTTTCGCGCACGAATCCTTGTTTTTTTGCCTTGAGACAAACCTGTAAATGTATATTTGTGAATGAAAAGCAACATATATTATGATCAAACATGATTTTTGAGCGACAGAGAAAATAATCTTCAATGGAATGTTAGAACGCAACGACCTAAATTATCAGGCGATGACAGATATGACGCAGTGTGCGTCCGAACTAAATCAAATAAAATCTTTTATTTTTAAAACGATAGTTGAATATATATCGACCTGTACATTATCTTATATGTTTTGTATCTTTTTTAGATGTGGTTCTACTTGTTACATGCTGAAAATTCACAAAACAAACAAATTATGCTCGAGAATGAGTGGAATGAAAAAAAAAATGACAGTTTCCGGTTTCACTTCTGAATTGTTTACTCTTGAAAATACTGGTGGTGCATTGCAAGTGAAAGGCTTTTGATACATGTTGCGCTTTATGTATTTTGAGGTTGATTATCTCATTTTTCCCTGTTTCAAGGCAAAATTTCAGAAGTCAAACAAAGAAATATAGTTCCAATGGTTGCACTGTAGACTTCAAGAGGGATTAGTAAATTTGGGCTTGGGGTGATGATGAGGTCAGACTAATTAGTCAGTGTGTCAATCAGTGTTCACAAGATATGTGTAACACGTCTCAGATTTGTTATCTTCTAACCAATTTTTTATGGAGATGTTGCCCATATAACAAGGAACCTCTTAAGTTAATTTTTGCCTTATTACTTTGTATTATTTGGGTATCACTTAATTCACAGTTCAAATTTAGATGATATTTTATGCTAATTAATGTTAGTTTGAAAGCATTCAATGAGGTTGTTTCCTTTTCTTGGAGAGGAAACATGCATTTCAGGAAAGCTTATTTACTGCTGTTTCAAGTGAGGTATAGCTTACTTCCCTTGCGTAAATACTTGGTGAGGAATAAATTTTTCAATAATCTGGGTCAATTTTTATGGTTTTGGGGTACAGTTTGGAAAAAAATTCTAATTAATTCCATATTTGTTCTTTTTCAGCCAGAGTCTCTGGATGTCTTGCCCATAAGATAAGGAATATTTTATCTAAGAAATGTTTCCTTTTTTACTCCAATCCATTCAGGCTCAGGCTGTTTCAAAGTCAAAAGTTGTACAATAATTTATGCAAATTGTATGCCATTTTCTTAGCATGATTTAAAATCCATGGATTTTTGGAGGCTAAATATATTTTTTCTGAAAAGCTAATTTTGTCCTCTTTCAAATGAGATATAGCACTAATCACTAGTGTAAATACTGTTGACAAAAAAAATAAAAGAAAAAAGGTTACCATCATTTGTCATTTTTTTCAGTATACCTGAAAGAGTTAAACGTGATATATGTCACAGAAGAGTTTTAACATCCTTTGATAGTCACTGTTTTTAATAATTCTTGTTATTTCAAGTTTCATTTCGCTTCGAAAGAGTCTTCAATAAACAGTCTTATTGCTAAGTTCAAAGTAACTTGACTCCATTTCAGCATATTCGTTCCTTTTCTCTGTTTACAAAGTGTTACAGTTCTCGTTGAAACGTTGCTCAATGGCCACGAGGTTTTGATAAACCAGTTGAGCAGTCGGTCGATTATGCGGATCGCACTTCAAGGCCTGGCGAATTAACATTTGGAGAGAGTCGAAATAGTTAGAGGAACTAGAAAACCCAATGTTAAAGGAAGGGTTTATAGTTCCCAAAGCAAATCCAAGGCCAATTCTTCCCGGTAAATTTGGAATAGCAACAAAGGCTCCGTAGTATGCTTTCCCACCCATTATGACATGATCACGCTCGAGGATTGCATAAAGGAGCACTCCAAGGCCAAAGACGTCAGCCTTTGCGCTATAACCGCGAATGCTGAATACTTCCGGAGCCATGTAGTATTTTGTTCCAACCTCTGATTGCATGTAGTATGGTGCGAAGATATTTTGAGCATAACCTTGGATTTGAGTAAATGCGATGTACTCGCGTGCCAAACCAAAATCCCCCAATTTGACATCCTCTGTCGCAGTCAAGAGCACATTATCTGGCTTCAAATCGCGGTGAACCACGTTACGCGAATGGAGGTAGGCGATAGCATGGGCCATTTGTTTCATCCACTTCAAATTCATTTGGTTGGTGCTCGGTGAGGGGAGCCGTTGGTTGAAGTTTCCTCCCGGACAGTACTCTGTCAAAAGCAACATATGTAAGTAGCCTTGAGTACCGTTAACTTGCTCGGTCCCCAGTATGGCAATTATATTTGGGTGAGAGATTTGTTTCAGCATCTCGGCCTCGCGGACCACGTTTTGAAGAGCCGAAGCATTGAGACAGAGAATTGATTTTAACGCGTAGAAGTTGGAAGTTGCCGGGTCTTGTACTTTGTAGACAACACCAAACGCTCCACTGCCAAGCGTTTCTTGAAACCGTATGTTTCCAAACTGAAATGTCGTTGGAAAAGTAGTAGCGGCTGTTTGCTGCATCAGTGCCATAGTTCCTTCGGAAAATTGAATTGCTTGGAACTTGGCTTGCAACTAGATTGTGCACTCTACTACTATAGGGTGGTTCATTTATGTAATATCCCGGATATTACGGTGTCAAAGGCTTTGACACCGTACTTCAATTGTACCTATAGGGTATACTCTTAATTGTGTGTTATGGGGGAGTTAAGTCATGTGATGCAAGTTGACGATGGTTCCCTCACGTATTTCTGGGAAACGCTAGATCATCCAATAAATCACTTCCGGCTCGGTTGATCAGAAGTTACTTTCTCGGAACAATCTTGTTTTTTTGAAAAATGCGTTTCCGAGAATTGAATTGATATCAGAGAAGTGATTTCCACTTTCGGCTTTACTTTAAGCAATTGGGAATGAAGGCAAACATTTTTAGATCCAAGTAATAGTCATGAAACGTGCAAAACCACAGGAAAAACAGACACACTATTTATAGAGGCATCGCGTATTGATATAAATAATAAATTAGTTCAGCTATTGTTCTATCAGTTGAAGGAGGGGTTTCCATTTGTTGTAATGGATCTCAAGTTTATTATTCTTTCTGGCTATAAAACGTTCTATTTGAAACGTACTCTTAATTCTTTCGAAAAAGGATTTAAAGGATAGAGAAGTCTTATTTAGCTTGGTGCGATAAATAAAATATTTACCTTCTAGTACAATATAACTAAGAAGGATTACGTCATTGTCATGATTAGGCGCGTCAAAAAAACCAAAAACAATATCTTTAATATCAGGAGACTTCAAAGTAATGCCCTGTGAGTTTAACATGACAGTGACTTCATCCCAGAAAGCATGCACTCTTGGACAATAAAATAACAAATGTTCTGAAGTCTCTAACTACTTTTCGCAAAAATAACACAATGGGGAGTCTACTTTCTTAAATTTAAACAACATAACATTTGTGTATAAGATTCTATTTAGTATTTTATATTGAAACTCCCTTAGTTTAGTATGCAAAGTTGTTTTAAAAGGCAGTGAATAAATCTTCTCCCAATCAAGATGAAAAGTGTCTGTATTAAATGCTTTGTCGTATTTCTTCATTGCAGTTGGTATGCTAGATATCTTAGAGACGAAAATCTGGTACAATGATTTTGAATAAAGCTTCTGTAAAGTCTTCTGTTCACCATCAACCCACAGGGAGAAATTACTTAGATTTTGGTATTGTGTGTTTCCGTAGATAGAAGTCCTATTTAGTTTCTAACTAACTATTTATTTGAACTTGATCATACCTGAAGTTTGAACGAGTTTTTGCTACATTGAAATAATCGATTGAATCAGCATTAAGTCATGTAAATAAACCATCTGTTGATATGCCGTGAAATTTTAAGCGATTACTAGTCATGCAAATATGACGAAGACGATGAACATTTTCATGTGGCCATGAAAATTATTTCAAACGACGAGACTTATGGCAAGTCCTTATGCACCACTATTTAGGTCCTAACACTGAATTCTGCATTTTCATTTGAGTTCGAAGGTATCTTCCATATGGCTTGGAAAAGCTGTGACGATACGTTTTCTCTCCAAAACTGGAGGACTGAATCTTCGCGGACGGAACAACAACAACTGGGGGAAATAACTCTGTAGAGACGACTTGGCAGCGAGAACGGAAACTCGTCACGATTTCCTGGTACACGGAGATCTACTTCTAGTAAGCTTGTACGGACGTCAAGGATAAGACAATCTTTGGTTCCACAGTACTTTTATTCTAGGTCAGGCCAACAAGCGACATGACCTCTAGCATACTCTAGTTTGTAATCATCAAAGCTGTACAAGGTACTTGCTTAAGAAGTAACTGGTGCGAAGTGCTATTGTCACACAAATCGCAATATTTGAATAAGGACACAAAGGAGCGGAAAAAAATCTCTTTGAAGTTAAACGAAAACCACCCAACTACTCCATCTGCCTCTACGACGGAAAGTATCTCAAAACTAAAAAGACGGATGCAATAAACTCCAGGCCATTAAAGTAGGAAACCCAGGTGCGATTTTACAGCCCTGTTATAGAAAACAACACCTATCTTAATTGCAGTAGCGCAGCTCAGGAAATAAAAAACGGAAAAGCAATTAAAAGTTTCTGCTTATTTATGCAAGATTGGTTTGGAAACCATCGCATGAAAAGAAATTAAATTTACGAGTATAAACTCAGCTGCTATCTACCATGAAAACCAATGTTTCCAGAAAGACAATTAACACTTATATTTACCTAAAAAAACCATGTAATAAATGACAAAAGTGCCGACAAGCAGGTGCATATGATGAAAGCGAGTAACAACAAAAATCTATTCAAAAGCTACTGTGGTTTTTATGCATTTTTTGATTTATTAAAATGAAAGGACTTGAAATGATTAAATGTGAAAGTTTACGAATAAATATGTTTCGAATAACACACACGGGAAAAATCAGTAAATTTTCCCGTAACAAAGCGTCAACTACCTCATTACTGGAACTTGTTGACTCCGTCAGTGCTGCGAATCTTTTCGAGTTTGTAACGAAGGATTGTGTCATTTATGAGAATGAATCCCTACAGAGTTAGGAAAGACTAGGAAAACTATCACCTGAATTCATCCGTATCTTAAAGGTCAGTCTGGTCTCACTGAAACGAAATGTGAAGACCAGGAGACCTCAGTCATGCACTACGTGACTGAACTACAGAACGTTTGATCAATTTTGTTCATTTAATACAAAACGTTGTATACTTGAAACCTGCATAAAACTGAAAAGGACGTTTCGTTTACCTTCTTAACCTTGACTCAATTTTTGCTGCCTCAGTCTTCACATCAGTAAAGTAGTGCTACTTTACAATAGCAAATTATGTGAATGTATGAGAACGTTCTTCATCTCCTATATAATCTACCACGTACAGGTTAGGGCGAACCGAAGAAAAGGCTCGGGAGTGGTTGGAAAAATTTAGGGAACTTGGACTCAAGCATGAAAAATTTTTTATAAAAGAGTTGATGCAAAGCTAGCAGACGAGAAAGAAAAGATCATCAATAAACCCTGTTCACCCTTTTCGTAAGGGAAAAATTCGTGCAAGAATTTCACCGAAAAAAAATGTTTCTTGAGCAATCCACACCTTATCGTTCAAAACGACGATTGCTCCCCCAGATGTAACTTCAGACTAAAGAGCCATTCTAGACCCAAGTCTTCAAACGTATCACATAGCTCGTCTCAACAAAGCCCCAGTGACTAACCACTGTACATCCCTGGAGCCCTGTGCGCGTTGAAAATTCTATGTCAGTTCCTGGATTGTACATTGCCTTTGCAACCCCAAGGCCAACTTTTCCAACACCGCGAATACGTTGAATGCACCGTAATACGCTTTTTTTTGTTGCTTTCTATGTAATCCCGTTTTAGGATGGCAAAAAACAGCAGGCCAAGGGAAAAGACATCGGCTTTTTCTGTGTAGTGATCCGTAAAATATTTAGGAGCTAACCAGTACGTTGTGCCAACTTCGTAGTCAATGTAGTATCGTGCGTCAACTCGTCTTGGTGCGATATACTCGCGAGCCAGGCCAAAGTCGGCTAGTTTAACATTTCCACGTCTGTTCAAAAGTACGTTTTCCGGTTTTAGGTCGCGGTGAATCACGCCGTTTAAGTGAAGGTAGGCTACGGCATCAGCAGCTTGACTCATCCACTTCCAGTTGATTCGTTCAGAGCTTGGTCGAGCAAGGCGTTCGTTTAAGTTTCCACCCGCGCAATACTCAGTCAAAATCAACATGTGCAAGTTGTGTTGATTGTCGACGAACCGACCTGCTCCCTTTATGGCAATGATGTTTTCGTGGGAGATTTTGTACAGTGTCTCTGCCTCACGGATTGCATTAAGACGTTGTGAAACGTTTAAGCAAAGGACGTCTTTTAAGGCATAGAGTTCAGACCCCGCTTCGTCTTTCACTTTGTAGACATTCCAAATGCACCACTACCAAAGTGCTGTTCGACTTTTACTGTTTCGTCGCCTACATGCAGTCTTGGGGGAAGATCAATCCAGGCTTGTTGCATTTCGCGTTTTACAGGCCACAACTGTTCTCTTTATCTAAAAGTCAATTTGATGGAAACAACGAGTTTAGCCGCTGCGAAATAGTTGGGTCTGATTTCTCGGAAAAACGAACTTGGCAATTGATTTGACTTATGGGAACGTACAGGGGTGGTGTTATTTCAGTAGTACTCGGTATGAAGGCGATAGTTTGATTGTGCACGAGTTTAACTGTTGTATATCCAAGAGAGGAAGTCTTACAGTATCGTTATTCAAAGCTTGATCATGTTTTAGTTGCCTTGGTAGGGATTAATTAGGGATCAGTCTTTGTAAACAAAAGACCCCCCCCCCGTCCCCCCTCCACTAGTCTTAAGATGCAATGTTTTTTCCGAGAATTCATATCCAAAGTAAATGTTCTGTGGAGTAAATGATCATTTGTCTGTTAAATATATTAAACAGGATTAGCACCTTTCGGTTAGGCCAAATATGCTACATTGCAGGGTTTGCTTGAAGGTAGGAGCTAAAACCGATTATTTCTGATGTTAGTTTGTTCTTAATTATCCCTATCCATTTAGTAAGTAGTAGTACCCATATTTGTATATTTGAGTTATTTTTTTTTCTTAAAAAAAAACCTCTATGCTAGCTTGTAGAGTGATATGTTGCTCGCACCAATCAGATCGTTGCATTAGGGTATGTATCTCGCACTAATCAGATTGCCGCATTGGGCTATGTATCTCGCACCAATCATATCATAGCATTTGGATATCTTGCACCAATCACAACGTTTGGATATTTTGTTCTTGCCAATGATGTCATGGAATCAGGAAGCTGTGCAAAAAGAATGATAGTAACCAGAAATTTTGTTCCCATTTGATAAGTGTAATGGTTTGTGGCCTTCGTGAGAACCTCGTCGACTAACTTCGAGATTTATCGGGATATGAAAGGTTCGCATTTAACTTTTTGCATCATTTCTAAGTTAAAAAATGTTTTTCCACTCCTTTACCCACAACGCACACGCCAAACAACTTACATTCCATCACGTAATATGAAAAGTCCAGTCAGAACATACCCAATCATTGCACCACATGAACATTAGCCAATTTTCCACGTGCTTGAATTGTATTGCACCAATCAAATTCCATTTTGCCACCTTAGCCTTCGCTCCACTACGTGTCATTTCCTTGTAAACAACCTGAATTTAATCACGTATTATAACTGCATTGTCCAACCCCACTGAAATAGATTCACATGGAACTAAATGTTACTAATAGTGAATTTTCCATGCAATTCTCAAATGTGTCTTCACTTATTCGAGATCGCAATATATCTTTGGTTAGGGCATATTGGAGATACAACAGACTTTCAGTTTCCTTTTCGTAGTAAAAGTACGTGGAATTATACTTTCGAGGCGAATAATTTTGATCTTCTCACTGTTGAAGGAACGGCAGTAAGCGTATTCCCTTTCGCAACCGTTACTTAGCCTTGTCACGCAAAGCGCGTTATCTTTCCAAAGAGGAATAGATGGCGTTGTGTGACGAGACCAAGCAACAGCTGCGAAGGAGACAACAGTAAGCGTGACACCAATGCATTTTAGTTTGCTTAGAAATATTTAGATTTCTCTCTCTTAAAGTGAAGTAATGTGATATTTTAATTCTTTGAAAGTTATGCTCTTTTTTAGTTTCAAAAATGAAAACATCAGGTACCCAAAGTGTCCCATCTCAACCTACCCAGCCGAAAAAATAGCTCTTGCATGCTGCGCATGCCTATGTTTATTAAGAACTTGAAGGAGAGTGCTATGAACAAAACACCAAACAAAGCACAAACAACTGGCTATAAGCGTGGAAGTCATGGGCTTCCAAAATTCCTGTAACACAGCCCATACTTCAAGCTATATTTCCAAGAATTTCGTAATCCGTAACTTCCCTGGTCTTGCATTTGCCCAGGTTTATCAACTAAAGATCCTTTCAAGGAAGAATTCTATTCACACTCTCAGATGCCAGACTTAGATAACATTTTATTTGAAAAGGTTCTTATCTCAGACACGAATTACAGTGTAACGTTTCTCAGAAATTACTCGTGATTTTGTAAGCTCATCCTTTTCATCAGTACTTCCAACTTATGTCGACCTTACATTATGTAGCGAATTTCACTTTCGCTGTATTTAGGCATCAAAAGTGAAAAAAAACAGTCATTTCATAGAAAATTTATTGCTCAACTTTAGAACCTGACCGAAACATGATACGAGCGAGCTTTCTGCTGAGAATTCCCTTGTATTCCACGGCGCACAATTATAGTGAAACTTCAAGGGATAAGTGCACGATCTCGATCGATCCCCACGTTCTGTCACTTGTTTTAGTCTCTAGAGATTAAGTACCTCTTTACATTTTCTTCGCCTAGTTCGAGAGATTGTAGTAGACGTTGATTAAAAGAAAAGGGCCAACAAGGACTGTGATGTAGCGATGTTGACAAGGACTGTGATGTAGCGATGTTGACAAGACGCTTACATGTCCTTTAGAAACTCACGGCCAAGATATATTCCTGAAATTCTTATTTGCATGCCTCTTACCTTAATTTCTGTAACTTAGTCTTGCACCAACAATCATGTGGCAACGCTTTACTTTAAAGGACAAGTGTTACATGTATAGTTTTTAAGTTCTCTTCTAAGTTTCTTGTCCAGTCATGTACCAGGGTACGTAAATGACATTACACCTGCTCGGCAGAGTTACATATATACGCTTAGAAGCACGAGCCAGCCTCATTCAAATCAGTCGAAGACTGTCCAAGTCCTATATTCTCTTGAATAACCCTCAGATGGTTGCAAATCTCTTGAGCGGTCGGCCGATCATATGGGTTGTATTTCAGCAACTCATGAACGTTTCTCTGTAGAGCGTTGGATCCTTGAGCGTGACTTGAAAATTGAATTCGTATATTCGCATCAAAATTCTCCATCGCATAGCCGACGCCAATCTTTCCTGCACCAGGAACAATCACGAAGGCCCCATAAATGGCTTTCCCGTTGATCACGATGTAATCCCGCTCGAGTATTGCAAAGAGGAGCGTTCCGAGAGAGAAAATGTCGGCTTTTTCAGTGTAATGGCCGCGGAAAAATTCTGGAGCTACCCAGTGGATTGGACCTATTCCCGATTGCATGTAGTATTGCGTGTAAGTTGTCAGCCACGAACCATCATCTTGTTGCACGCTAGCTCGTTTTAGTGCGATATACTCACGGGCAAGGCCAAAGTCGCCCAATTTGACATCTTCTGATGCAGTCAAGAGCACATTATCTGCCTTCAGATCGCGGTGAACTACGTTGCACGAGTGAAGATGGGCAACAGCTTCGACGGTTTGGGTCATCCATGTCAGATTTTGTTGGTCGCTGCTTGGTCGAGCAAGGCGATCATTTAAGCTTCCGCCGGGGCAATACTCGGTCAAAAGCAACATGTGCGAACCTCGGCTATCGCGAAACTCGCCAACACTCACGATCGCAATAACATTTTCATGAGAGATTCGGTTTAGTGTTGAAGCTTCGCGGATGGCATTACGAATGGCTGAATCATTCAAACAAAGGATATCTTTCATAGCGTACACTTTGGACGTTCCTTCTTCTATTACTTTGTAGACGACACCAAAAGCGCCGTTACCAAGTCGCTGTTGGATATTTACTATTTTTTCACCTACTTGAAGCTGTGTTGGAAGGTTAGTTTGGGCCATTTGAAAGTCCCTTCACAGAAATTACCTAGCCAGACGCAAAATGTAAATTGAAGTCGGAGCTTCGATCGACGCGGGGTCGTTTTCTGGGAAAAGTAACGTGTGTTTATCAGAGCTTCCTAATTCGAACTAGCGTGCATTGCGGCCTTTTGTGAGTTTTTACTTCCGGTTATGAAGGTACTGGTTGAACCCCATAACTTGAGTAGGTTGATAAATATCAGCTAGTGAACGTTCCGAAAAAGACAAAAACGGGAACAAACTTTGCTCATTTACGATTGCTAGTTGTAGAAACACTTAATGCAGTGGACCTGGACGAATATGGCAACTCATCAAACAAAGTATCAGAAATTTGATTGAGAAAGTCAATGTAGGGCCATTCTTGATAAGAAAAAAGTTGTCGTTCTTTTTATGTTGCTGAAGTTGTTTTTGTTGTTGTTGTTTTCTTTGTGCAATTGCGATAGCAAAAGAAGAAGCCGGAAAACGAATCGATGTCGAGTCCTTTCCTTTAAGTCCTTTAGAGTCCTGCAGACTCGTCTCTTGTTCGGAGACGAAATGGTCAGGTATAGCAAAGTTTATGGGGAGAAGAAAAGTGAAAAAAATTGCAATGAATCAATCAGTGGGATTCACCAGACATTATGCAACAGACTGGATGAAGATACAATGGGTACCTTATTACGTGAATAAGTTAAGAGATTATTCTCTTCACTAATCATAATAGCATAAAAACAAAACAGACAAAACAGTGACAGACGGCGGAAATTGATACACCAAAGCGCTAGCAAATAGCAATTCAGCTCAGGCAGGACTGGGCTGATCAATGTAATGCAGGAGCAGGTGCTTGCTTATGTGATTAACCGTTGAGATCTTTGAGACTGGTACTCCTGGAAGGTCAACACTTTGAAAGTTAGACTTCACGTGCGCTCTCCTGCTGAGTTGGCATTTGCATCTGAATGAATGTTATTGTGGTGTGGCTTAGCGGAACTGTCATCTTAACCAGCCGTTCATTCAGCCGGATCAGCCAGTAGAGCTCCTAAATCACACCTGAATTTGCACAATTTTGTAAGCAAAAGAGTCTTCATCCCTGTAACCCAACTATTAGCTAGCCTACAAAAACTGACTACTTTTAACTTTCGAAGCTAATTTCAATCCAACCTCTAAAGCTTTTCAAATTTGTTTCGAAAGGGGTCCGATATAAATTTCCTGTTGATAACAAAGAGTTCGAGTATGTCACTAGCTTAGGTTTCGCGTTTCTATAGCAACACTTATCTTTCGCTGAGGGTACACAGGCTGGCGGCTGGCGCGGATTGGAGTTGCATAGGAACTGACGTACAAACGATCCTCAGTCTTGTTGTGCAACCCGTGATAAATTTGCCAAGAATTAAAATTTTTATGAAAAGATATATGTTGATCGTAGTCAAGCAAAGGGCACTTGACAAACTTTAATTTTTGTTGAAGACATAACTGACCATAATTCAACCAAGGTCATCTTTTGTTTGCGAGTTGCGAGCTCGCATGTAAGCGGCTCGCACGCTTACTGCGCGTACGTGTGGTAGCGTTTTGCGGCTTGAGGGTCAAATCTTGAGAATGTTTTTGCGCAGGTGATTTAGCAGGGTTGGTGGTCTTTTAGCAGATAATTTTTCGAAAAATGTCTTGATTTGTCTTTGCTATCGCTGATGAACAGTTCAATTTTTGTCCATGAGGATAAAGAAGACTTTGTCAGGCATGCGGCGTAGTGTTGATATTGGTTATTTAAAGAATACAGTGTGTTTACGTCTTCTTTTTTAATTGAATGTACAACTTCGGTTAATATATTTTTAATGCTGTGCCTATTTGCTTGTGTTGTATCAATTATTTGTAAGAGAAATTGAGTGTCTTTTTGCACGGGATAACCTTTTTTCGAAACAGCCTGAAAAGCCGGTGTGTGTATTACTTGGCGAATAAATCGAGTGATAGCGGCACTCGGTTGCACAACTTCTCTTGTATGGTGTGCAGCATTAGAACAAGTGTGAGAAAGGCCCGAATCAATGACTGTCTTGATTGACCTGCACCATGTCTTAAATAATTGCTGATGTTACGACAGGCCACCATTTTATAACAGCCACCTGAAAAGAAGCTCCCTTGCTTTTTCATTCTTTTTTTTTTTTTTTTTTTTTTAAAGCTCATGGTGTTCGTTGGTCTGTTTGTTTGTTTTTTCATGTCGTTTGTCGTCTTTGACTCGAAATTGCCAAGAATTCTATGGTTTAGAAATAGTTTGCAAAATCTGTCAAAGTATGCATGTAGTATTATGAATTATAATTTTTTTTTCAGAGCTCAGTTGAAACCATTATCATATGGCTACCGCTATGTTACAGGTGTACTGCGTGGAGAGGATAGAATCACGCAAAATTGCAAATTATCCTTGATATCTTTGTTATCAAAGTCATTTTGTCGCATCAATACATTTTTTCAATGTTGATATGTTTTTCTTAAGTACATTTTCCCAAATTTTCAATCAGTACAAAAAGCCGCAAACAAACTCAGCAAATATGTTGTTCGGTTACTAGCGCAAATGGTGCCAAGCAAACAGACCCCAGGGAAAATTAAAATTAAATTTTATAGTTAGAATATAAAGGAATGTTTTTTTTTCTCATTAAAAAAAAACAAAAAATGAAACCAGGACAACTAAGGTAATCGTAAAACATTCGAAAGTGGCTTTGTGGTAAAAGAAAAAAAAGGAAAAAAAAACGAAAATCTGTGGTGTCTCAATTTTAATTCAAAACAATGAAAAGATAAATATTGATCTGTTTCTATCGATGATTTTTTTATTGTTTGTTGTAGGAGTCTGATATGGCTTCATTCATTTGCAAAAATGACCGTCGATAACTCATGCCAAAATAACTTGCTAGTATTGTGGAAAGTGTGATTAAAATTTTTTTCTACTCTTGCCGTGCTGTGAAATTTGACATTTAACTCCTCCACTAGTGTTGCGAATGATTAACTGGAAACAAAACCATAAAATTAACTTTTGTTCACTAAGAAGAGATCTTCACAATGAGGGCGAAACTGCTTTGAACCGAGAAATAAGAAAAAACCCAAATAAAAGAATCTATCGGAAGGTGCAAATGTCTCTTTCCTGTTACAAAGGCAACTTTTATTTTTACTCATGACAAGGTGACCAATGAATAAAGCCTGCTGAGGCTTTCAATAATTTGTTTTGATCCTGCGATTTCCAACAGGGAAAGGAACCTTTTACAGCTTTTTAGCACTGCGCGCCAAAGAGTAATTATAAACATAATTTTGTTTTGACAGCGAATCGCTAATTTGCCTCAAATCGATGTTAATCTAAAACTTAATAATTGAAAGCCGTCTTTATGTATGCAAAAACATCAGTGGCAACAGCGACTGATAAAAATCTTATTTAATTTAAACTGTGGAATACTGTTTTAAAAGCATCTTAAAAGAAGCTCGTAACACCGTATCCGACATAGAAGATGAAAATAACATCTAAATATGCCCTTTATGTCAGTGATAACCTTATTTTCTTCTATAATGTAAATTTGCTTCATTCCTCTTTTTTTTTTTAATTCTGGCAGCTGTTTCTCTTCAAGGTATTCTCGTAAGGTGTTATAAATATTCTGACTGAAACTTCTCTCGGTCAAATGTGCATTATTTATAACAATAGCTGAAGGTGTCTTCGTAGTTTTGCGTTTCTGAATACTCGAGTGAGACGTAGTCTATAAGTAAATACTTTCGACTCTCTCCATTCGTTTTGTATCTAATTCATGATGTAAAAACTCCCTTGGAACTTGACCAGAGTTGGGTATTGAGATTGAAAATGATGGAGTTTGGAGGTTGACGAGTCAGTGTGTTTGTTAAACGTTTTGAGGCTATTTGTGGTCTTTAATGCGATAAGAAAGCGTTAAGGAAGCAATTCTTCTGAGCTGTTCCAGCTATTGTTAAACAAAGAAAAATTTCTGGCGGGTGTCGTAAAATTACTCGCTTAAATTTGCATCAGTGATTAGTAATAATTTAAGAACCCGTTTCTTCGTCTCCTTCCCCTTGTTTTTATTCAGTCCTCGGTCATTCGCACCAAAGCACAATTAAAACAACTTCCGATTCCTTGCTTCCAAAAAGCCAGTCAGATAACATCCAAATTTCTTAGGCAAACAAGACACAAGACAATGATCAGGTCGGAAATACTTTTCTTGGTTCTAATTATTTATTACAAAACAAACAATTCATCGTCTTCAGTGGATTCTCATTTGAATGAATGGTTAAAAAAAAGAAAAACTAAAAACCATTTATTGTCATCTGTCAGTATTAATGATTGTTTTGTTTCACGGCACTGTGTGTAAAGCATTTCAAACGATCAGCCGAAAAACTTCATCCACTGAACCAAAATATCTGCATTTGCGGTGTATTTGTCTTCCTTCGATTCGTCGGAATCCAGCTCTTGGAGTTCTTCGTTTACAAGATATTCATTAGCGTTAACAGCAGTTGTGGCGCTTCCCTTTGCAGCTTCACTCTGTCTGTTCAAACATGGTAGACTACTTCGTCTATTGTAGATTTTTTCGCTGGGAGGGAATGATAAAGGGCGGCTATTTGATACCTTAGATTGAGCTTCTTTTATCTTGTGCTGCGTCGAGTGAAAAGGCACAGGGACGAGCGAAGACTTTCGCCGTCTCACAGGTTGGCCAGTCTGTTCATTATCAATTCTCGTTTTGGATTTGACACAGTCTGATAAGTTTTTCGTTTTGAGGCATGTAATTGACTCCTTACCTGTCGATTTACCTCGCCGTTCTCTAGAAACCCCTGATCGATCCACGTTTTCTCTCGTGTAACACATCGGATCAGAATGACGTCGAGGCGTTACTACATCCGCAAGACAGCTCTCGCGAACCGAATACCTTGCCTCCGTGCTTTTAACCGAGGTTCTTTTGCAAAAGCCATTTTCACTTTCACTGCTGTCACTCGAAAGTAGCGATAAGCGATGAATAATATGCTGCGTCGCGATTCCACCTGGCTCCGAATATCTGCGCTTACAAGGGCTCAATGCATTTGAGCAGCGCTTAATTCTTAAATATGAGCCGTCCCTGTAGATCGCTGGTAAGGACATTGTCCGAGGTCGACGGTAAAAGATTGGGGCGTCGTTTGCTGTGTTTTCTTCAACGTTAGTTGCGTAGGTGGACGGCGGGCACTCGTCGCCAGTTTCGGAGATTGTGTTCAAATGCGTCGATTGTACGGAAAGCCGTCTTTCTGTTAGTCGCGGCTGAAAAACATTTCTTTCATGGCAGTTTAGTGGGTACGAAGTTTTTCCTCCAAAAATACTCTCCACCATGGTAAATTCAGTTGATCTGTGGTGTAACCAAAATCAGTGAAACTTTGATCTTAAAACATCTGCGACTGCTTCGAAAATCCGGCCGATCTGATTGGATTGTCATTTCAAATCTCGTGTAAATCTCTCAAGTTCAAAACCCACCTTATTTCTCTTGTAGTAGCTACGAAGGTGAACTCTGTTTTCGAAAACCACAAGGTGAAAATAACTCCAGCCGTCGTGAAAAAGTCTGAGACGTCCCACTTACACCGCAAAATCTTTTCTTGCGGTCTTATCTCGAATCAAAAGATTCTTATAAATATTAACTATGCGGTTAGGATGCACATAAAATTAATAACAGCTAGCAAAAGTGATCTTTTTTTAGAACAGAACCAGTCAACCGTACTTCACTTGTCAAACGTGTTTTGAGTATGCGGCTATCTTGCCCGTATCTAGTCGCGTACTTAATGATATGTAAACACATTTGCACCAGTAATGACTTGGTTTTCAATGATTTTAGCCCTCATGGATGACCTTGTCATGGTAAAATTACCGTTTTGAAGATTCTTTCCTCACAACGAGAAATTTCTTGATTAAAAGTACCATTTTTACTCGCACCTTATGTGTTTATCTTTTGCGAACGCCAGGTGATATAGAAACTAATGAATACTGCTAACTACACGTAACATTTTTCAATGTTTACTTGGTTTTTGCTTGAAAAAAAACTAGAACTAATTTAGCGATAATCTTTGTTAGTGGCGGCGAATACTTGTCCTTTCAGTTTTTCCGGTTTGGCTTCAATTAACTGTGTCGATCCAAGAGGTTATCCAGACTTGTTTTGCGGCAGTTTCGTTAACCAGCTCTCCTATTAAATGAGCTGCGAGACGTGAAAACATGCAAATAACATTACGGCTAAATTTTTGGGGAAAATTGCTTTTTATCCGAGAAAATATAACAAGACTAACTTTGTTTTTAAATCGAACAGTTGACTCTCATTGTCGTAAAAATTTTATTTCAGTTGACCAAGATGAAAGGCCTTCAACGAAAACTAAGAAATAACAACTGAGAGAACCACTTAGACATTCAGTCGTCAAAGATGCACGAGTTTTTGTTTTATGGCAATCAAGCTGTATTCTAATATCTCTCACTTCTAAAAATATCTCTGAACAAATTAAAGTAGACGACTTGAATTTTTTTTATTCATCAAGCATTCAATTCTATGATTGTAGCTCTCGGCTGTTTCAAACACAGCTTCCTATAATCTTAACCTTCGTTACTTTCGTTATACGTCCTTCTTATACTGAATAATAAAAAATTACATCTTACAAGTTTTTAAAGTTTTAAATTGCATCGTGACCTTGGCGAGTTAAATTTGTTCAGAAAATGAATACATTAGCTTCGATATTTGAAGAAGAGATTTAAGCTGGAGCTGTTTTGAACGATTTGTGTTCAAAGACACTTTTCACTTTTCTTATTAAAGACAAACCTACGAAGAACTTTCAGGGCGCCCAGTTCGTTATGAACTTAAACGATTGAAACATCGTCGAAACCTTGTAGAACGTTCTAGCCGCGGTTGCGATAACAATCTCAATTAAAATTCGTCGAGCAAATATCCATTCAGTTGACGAAGCTTATTTTAGATTGAAACGTCACCAATGATTTTAATCATGTCCCCCGCTGACCATAAGGACCAGAAACACTGAGGGCAAGTTTCACTTTGAAGGTCAAACTCCTCTTGCTTAAAGGCCTGGGCTGCTACAAGATGTTTTCTTTTAACGCTTGCTTTAACCTGCAAACAGAAATCTTTTCATTAACTTAAGAACAGAGTTGTAGTTAACACATGTGTCCTGATTATGCTTATAAGATGTTGGAAAGTGGCTCACTGGAATGCCAAAATGTTGCTAAAAAATTGCTGCTCAAAAAAATTTCAAAAGCTGCTGCCGAAATTCTTGATATTTTGATAATTTAATTCAATAATTGCTAACATCCGTCAAGAAAAATAACTTGAAAATTAGCTTTAAGGAGTTGCTCGCAATATGGGCGACATTTAGGGATAATGGTTCATTTGACGTCCTGCCGAGCGTTATTTCAGCCGATTACCGTTATAATATTAGACTAGTTATAGTTCTCACTAGAGCTGCCCCCGCCCTACAGTACCATTTTCTTTTTTTTTTTTTTTGAGTTGGGCTTGTTGTTTACAGTTGTGTAGTTATGACCATTTGCGGGAAAAACGTTGATACCTTGCGGCCGTGCAAGCGATCAAATCGAGATTTTTTTTGGTTACGATCAACCGAAAACACCTACATTCTCTCTTCTCCAGTCTTCCTCTATACTAGGACAAATCTCGTGTCAAAGACGCCGATCCTAAAAGTCCTCGCGCGCGTGTCTTTTTACTGGCAGCCCATGACCATTTGCGGGAAAAACGTTGATACCTTGCGGCCGTGCAAGCGATCAAATCGAGATTTTTTCTGGTTATGATCTACCGAAAATACCCACATTCCCTCTTCTCCAGTCTTCCTCTATATTACGCGGGGAGTCCTAAGGTGCCTCCTCGGGTTTTTGGCCCTCTGGGGCCAAAAACCCTGCGGGGGCAATTAACATCGCAAAAGGTCTGCGAAACGTTCTCTAGTGACAGTTAATGCGTTAATTTTTTAAAAGATCGTCGAATTTTTCGAGCTTGATATATGCTCTAAACCTACACTTTGCTCAAAAGGCAAAAGGTTGCTCGAAGTTGCTAAAACCGCAAAAAGTTGCTTAAAAGCAAGCCGGTATAATTAGGACGGTCCTAATAGTTACTGCCTTCTCTTATCTTGATGGTGTTAGTTTATTGCGGCAATGTAATGCCAGGAGATCGGCTTTGAGGGGATGCTTTGGGATACTGATGAGACCCTCTCTGAACTGTTTATAGATGGCGAAATAAGGGTGTTTCTGCCTTTTTCCGGCCGATTCTTAATTAACAGTGTTGAATTTACTAAAATCTTTCGTTTTTCACGAGAATTTGTTGAAATCTCGTGAGAACTAAATCGGCCCAAGACTTGGCACCTTTGTCAAGAATGAGGCGATCGCCGCATTCTTGGATCCATATTTTCATGAATCTGGTTTGAAACGGTTAACTATAAAATCCTACGGACTTAGTAAGCTCCACCATGCTGAATTGAGTTTCAGAGGTGTTTCATTGTTTGTATGAAAAATGGAAAAAATTACTGACGTCACTTGGAATCGACCAAGAAAGCAATTGGAAACGGTCTATGTCTAAAGCCTTATATGAAAGAGTTATTTTCCAAAGTGGGGTAAATATCCACCACTTTCGCGGACACTTGGATGAATAATTGTTTTGTATATACCACACAGATACCCAAAAATTACCTTATTTCTCTCAATGTACCGAAAAATAGTCGGAGATTAAACGCTTGACGCGCGGTTTTGTCTCTTCGGCTGCTCGGAGGTGAATAGTACTTGCCATTCACATCTCAACTAGCCAATCAGCGCACTAGTGTGATGTGTACAAAATTATGTATTGAGATATTCAACTTAATTTCCTACAATAATGTTTTGCAAATAAATGAAATAAACCGTATTGTAACCTTAGTGTCGATTATAACAAATAATGAAGCGATTCTCACGAGTAAATTGCAATCAAAGAAATTGCAGTAAAGAAGCCTGAAAAAAGTTGGGCTTCTTTTTTACAATTTCTTTAACTGCAGCTCAACTGTGCTGAGAAGATCGGTTCGTCATCAATCAAAACTGTGACAAATTTTGTTTTTAAAGAAAGGTGGGTCAAGAAAATAATATGTGACCACACGAGGATTTTAATCTTAAGCCTTCATAATTTACCTTTCGTTGGCCGAAATATCACTTGTAGTTACGTTTAACAAAAACAGGTGGCCGTTTTCACTGCTTCTTGACGCAAAATTCGTCGTTCTCATAACCGACGATTGTAAAAGAAAAGTATATTTTTTTGTCCTAGCGAATATAATATTGTCACTCGTATTCTACTTAAAAGAAAGATGTGGAAATTGTCAAATGAACGAAACAAGCTCCAAATACAACACCAGCATACTTTTTAAGTGAAAAAGACTGTTTAAAATTAGAAATTTCCCTCTCAAGTATTGACGTCTGAATGGGAGCTTGTGATAATGCCCGTTTATGATTTGAGAGAATATACAATGGGTAAGTGATAGCCGGCTACATGTACGTATTCCAAATTTTCTCCCACAGGATGTTAGTGGAAATTAATTTCAGGTGTCTGTCTGAGTTTGCAGGTTAGTGCTTTTCTATCCTTTTTTTTCTTTTTTTTTTTTCCTTTCGATTCTTTAATTGATAATGTCAGTAGAGGTTTGGATGGCCCTCGATTTAAACGTGACCTTTCAAATTTCGTTTATTTGTGACTCAGCAAAAAATGCTCACGCTCTACTTCTTAATCCCATCAAATTTACAACGGCTCACTTGTACACGAAGATATAAATGTTGACTTAATCAGAATGTGGTTATATGTTTAGTTCTTACGATTTTTACGTTCAGTAGCCCACTTCCCATTTGCCTTTGTTTAGGTAATATTACTGATTTGTTTTCGTGCTAGTCCAAAGGCTTAAAGAATCGAGTTTAGTCTGCTAGAACTTTTGTTCACAATGTACAGGATTATCTAGGGAAATTTTACGATTTTGCAAGTTCTTATTTAGGTTATTCTACTCACATCTCTTGACGAACGGTGGACTCTCTTTGCGAAATGGTCAGCTCTCTTACATCCAATGTGATACTCGGATGTGTGACCGACGTAGTGCGTTGACTTAAGTAAGTTTAAGAAAGAAAAGAGTATCCTTGGTACACTTTCTTATTAGACGTAAATCAGTACAGCGAAGAGTTAAAATTTGGGGGAGTAACATTTGTTTGTCTAGTATGATAAGGACGTCTCGATAATCTATTTTTTCGTCTCGCTTCAGATTACTAGTATATTGGTAGACCAACGCACAAAAATTTCACTGAAGCGGATTATATATACCAGTTGTGTACTCAGTATTATTTTTTTTATAGCTGTTACTATTTTCGACGATAACCTATCTTCGTCTGCTAGACAATAATACCAGATATTGTTTTGACCACGTGATCAAATGAAAACAAAATACATCCATATTGAGTTAAAATCGGAGATTACATTTTGGAGCTAGAGAAACCAACACAGGCTCCTCACTAACAACCACAAAAGCAAAATAATGATAATAATGATATAATCTGCAGGAACAGGTTTAGTTGTAGAATAATCTGTACAAACGTGTGGAGGATGCTGTCGTGGCTTTCGTTACCTCTCTTAAAGATCCTGTCTACCAGAATGAATAGTTTTTCTCTCAAGGAATCTATAGGAGGTAAATTTCTAGGGGTGAGGGAGGAGAGGAGGGAGGTTTGTATTTTAACGGGTTGTGTTGTGTATTCATGTATTTACTACTCACACTTGAAAATTATTAGGTCACTTGATGAGGGTTATTGATCCCCGGGAGTCACAGTGAAAGCAACACCAAATAAAAGCACTTTTGGTTAAATGTTGCTAATGTGGCAAAATATATAGATTTAACAAATCTCCACCATACTGCGATTCTGGCTGACATGAATCGTGTACTAAAACGTAATTCTTAGAATAATTTTAAAACTGGAGCCGAAATCTCCTGCTTCGTAGTCCAGGTGAGTTCAACCTCTCGTCACAACCACAGAAAAATGCGTTGCTTTAAGTCAACTGGGAAGCTCCCTCAATTCTTCGGCTTCCCCTCTTTAGGTTTGTGGATGAGTTTTACCATTATTACACTTATTAGGCTGGGTTTACAAGTTCTAGCCCCTCAAATAACCATTTCCGAAGACTTCATCTATGCCCACGAGATCTCAGTGGTATGATGAACTGTCGATCTACCCTCTCTCAGTGGAAATAACAATCTACGGCAATAAATCCCGGATGTTCTCTCCCCGATGAATTCTCTTGTCAATTTCAACTAGTAAAGTCACACTGTTGATAACTTGTTGAAGAATATCAACCTGCAAAATTATATTTAAAACAATTAGGAACAATCATCATTTCAATTATTGAACACTGGTGTTTTATATACTATACTACCTTCAAATTGGTTTTGATGACGTCGTTTGCCTAACACTTGAACTCTTCTATGTGATTATGATATCACTTCTCACAACTTCTCGATGTATCATCGAGATAAATAGCGAAGACGTAAGACATTCATTAAGTAGTTAGGGTGCCATGATTGCTTCAAATTCTCCGCCCGTAAAGGAAATAAACAACTACCAAAAATGAAGTTGTACAATTAAATCTTGAAACTAAAGCTTCGCAATGGGCCTTGCTCACTATAGAGTCTCTGTGGCTCAGTGGTAGAGCATCGGAGCGCGGAATCTGTAGGTCTGAGGTTCGATACCTCATGGGGATTCAGAATTTTTTCTTTGTCCCACGCTCGTGACAAGACAGAAAACAAATTTCTCTATTTCTTTACCGAGCATAAAAACTTGCAATCTTTCTTATTCTATTAATAAAAGCGTTATCTTGGTCTAAAAAGCGAAAATGTGAGATCCATCGCCAAAAGCGACCTAGAAAATTTGAAAATTGGTACTGACATATCTCAATATCTCTCCTGAATACACTTTTCACACAACTGATTGATTCATCTTATGATTCTATAAATAATTACCTCCGTCAGCTGCATTTTGTATTTATTTCGTATGCAGAACACGTCTTGAGCTTGTGGATCTACTGAAAATGGGTAACAAGAGTTAGCTCTATTTGTACTGCGGACACTATCGAGTGGAAAGAACTGAGCGCTGTGCGGTTATACCCCGGGTTGGTGAAAGTCTACCAGACATGAAGCCCGAGGAAGTAACAGAACACAATAGAGAAGAGGGTTGGAAGAAGCAGGAACTTTCAAGAATTCAGATGTCACTGCTTTTGGCGCATTTTAATCTATCAATTTTAAAAGTGGAGAACGCGGAACGCATAGAATCCTTTTTGTCTTTCATCTCAACTAACCACCACTATTACGAAGAGCAAAAAAAATATATCACCTCCGGCTTTACTGATAAGCAACAATTGAGATCGCCTAAGTACCAAATGCAACCTATTCCACTGTAACATTACTCAGTTCAGCTCTGATACAGAATCGGAAATAAAAATTATTCAACCTTTCAATTTAAATTGTTCTATTGGTTTTGCTGTTACACGCTGTGACTGAGCGAAGCGGGGTTTGCCCCTCCACGGGGTTTTCCCCAACCGGTAATACCTCCCTAAGTCGCACTTTACTGACCAGTGCTTTAATCACTCTGAGCTTCCTGATCAGCGCTCACGTTGAGTGGTTCATTTTCCTTTGAGAATCTCCAGCTCACCTGCCTCGTCTAGCTTCACTGGGAGTACATGTATAATGCGCTCAAATCTTGGATCCTTGAAAAATTTAGAGGTAAAGCACTAATATCAACAGTGTTACTTGCTAACACAAAATGGCCAACTCTTACAAAAATAGCATAACAGAACTTGGAGTCTGTTTAATTTGACCGACTAAGATACGGGAAATTCGGTGAAGCAATGAGGCACAGGGTATTCCACAGCTTATGTCGTCTAACTCTTCCCACCAAATGCCACTACTCTCCCACCTTGTGACGATGATGAGTTTGTAGAAATGAAACTTACCAACCTTGCAGAGTTTTGACAGCCGAACTTCTACTTCCACCTCAAGTCCTGTGCCGATGTTATGTGGCGAGCTTGTCAAATATCCATATTTTGAGCTCCACATGAACTTCTTTTCATTTCGTTTTAAACCTTCCTCTATACTTGAGAGTATTTCGCTGTATCGCCTGAATGCCCTTTGTATATCACCGCCAGTTTGAGTTATGACAACCTTCAAATGATCCTCGAAATTTATGAATATCTGACATTGTCTGTTCTCAGCTAACCACACGAACCTTCCATGAGGCCAATCGCGTGACAGCTGGGGCGGCAGTGAAACAAAGCTTGATCCATACTCTTCCATCGCAGAATTACTGTTTTGCCATGACACCGAGAGAAAAGAGTCCCCGATGTTTTCTGTGAAGACAAAGTAGTACATCTCATATGAGATTTCTAAGAAATACTGACTTGCGAAATTTCCTTCAGAGCTCGAGTGAGCGAAACCAAACGTCGTGATTATGATGAGTCAGGAAAATAAAAAAATAGAAAAACAAAAAGTAACGAAGATAGTTACAGATGGACGAGATGAACACAGATTGCAAACAACTATCTTTCTTCCATCAAATTTAGCGAAGAAAAACTAATGAAACAACTGATGGAAAGTGACTGACTAAAACCTTCCCGCCGCTTTTTTCCCCGAGCAGTTAAAACTCGACTTAAAGTAATCACCTCAGCCAATCAAAACAAATGGGAATATTAAAAGTAGGCAATGAGAACACAAAGTGAATTTATTTCATGCATACTGAGATTTACTCACGAAAAAAAAGGCCCGCTTAAATTTTTTACGAAATACACAACCAACCAATCAGAAGAGCGAACAACTGTGAAAATATATCGTTCGTCCTATCAGAGACACGAACGATAGTACTTTACGGTGAAGGGCAACAAGCGCGCGGCTTTCTGTAAAAACAAAATGGATGAAGAAGTGCCAAGATTTGCTCTCCATGAAGGAACAAAAGATGACTTCATAGATGAGCAAGAAACTGAAAGAACACCAGAGTATAGACAGATAGAGACGTAAGACATTTTCAGTTATTTTAAAACCGAGGTTGTCCCATTTTCTTTGCAAGTTTTCATACTTCATAAATGTAAGCATTTGCAAATTCGCGATGCCATTCATAAATTGAAAAATTGAATTTCAAAAATATAAATTATCGTTGTCTCTCTTTTAAAAGTATAGTCTCTCAGTCGGCAAATTTGTGTGTAAACAAATAACAACATAAACAACAGAGACTGAATATCGAGCCACGTTGCAGATTTAGCGGTGTTTATTATAAAAAAGAGGTTGGGAGAACACGAGATTAGCGTAGGAAACCACGACGCGAAGCGGAGTGGTTTCCAGCTTATCGAGTGTAAACACGGAAACCATTTTACATTTCTTTTATAAAATAACTAATGAAAGAGGAACGAAAACCGTGTTTACATACACTCATGTAAGATGGTTTTATGGCCAATTAGAGCGCGCGTACTATTTGAATTATTTTATTTAAAAAAAATTGCTCTTGCTCCTAATGGCTTCCAATCTTTGAAATGTGATGGTCAGTAAGAGAAAATCTCACTATATATGAAATAAAAACAGCATACCATGGAAAGTGCTTAAACGTTTTTTTATTCACAATTTGCGATGCTTCAGAAAACTCACTCGTTCGCGGCGCTCACTCGGTCGTTTTTTTGACCCATCGCAACTCGTGAATAAAAATCGTTCGTGCGCACCTTCCATGGAATAATCTTTATACAAACAATCTGTCCAAAGCGCGGGAAAACGTGGGTCGCGATAAGTTGTTCATTTTGCCACTTCTTGGTGGAGAGGGTAGGGTGAGGTTTCTGGATCAATAGCGGAGCAAACAAAACCACAACTTCCCTGAACCTCTTACTTACCCCAAATAGACTCCAATGTTGTCACTATCGGGTGACTCACATCTAATAGTTCTGTTGCTCGGCTGGCGGGAACCATTCGGTATCCTTCTATATTTCTTCTACCACTCAATCTGCAGCATAGCACGTTTGATCCATACAGCTTTCCACCTCTGATTTGCTCCCAATCCAAGTTAATTTCTGACCTGAAATTCTGATCCACCTCATGTAGCTCTCTAATGACAGGGTCCATGAGCTCATTAAAAACATCGTAACATTCTTCATCTCCCGCTAGCAGCCCCGCTGGGTTTCCAGCGAGTGAGCTGGAGCCAACTGAACCTAGACCCGACTCGATCAGTTGCTCTATATCATAATTTTTAGTCGTGCCCCTGTCTTTCAACTTGGAGAATACGTCTGGTGTAAGATACTTTGCCATGATAGTTATGTTGTTTGTGAGGTCCGGAAAGCTGCTCATGCGACGCTTTTTCCTTGGATAGTTTGGATGGTGACTGCTGAGAGTAAAGTAGGCTGTCACACTTACTGCTACACAAACCCCAATCACAGCATAAGGATTGCCTAAAAGATCTCTAAACCTCTGAAGAGTAAAAGCCATTATTTAGTTTCCTATATCGTCTACTAAAATCGATCGTTTGAAGCTCGACACTCAAGACGTCACAATTAGGGCTTGACATCACGTGTGACGAAACAAAATTACATCCGTCATAATTGCTCAGTATGAAATACACTTTCATCTCGGTTTTTCGCAGTTAGAGTCATGTCTGATTTAGTTTCACATATTAATTCATAAAAAGGTCCCAAATGCATCGTAATTTTTGCGTAAAATCACAACGAAGTCTATTGGATTAAAGGGTTGTACGTTAACGAATCACATGCTCTCTTGACCAATACGCGCGCCTAGTGTGAGAATAAACTGGGTCCTAATTAGAACAGTGTTCGCCATGTTAGTTCAGGCTGGTGTCCTCGCACATCTTGCTTATCAGTGCGAGCTATGTGATTGTCTCGTTCTCCGGACAATAGGATACATTCACGGAAGTAATGGTGAGTGTAATTCTTGTAGATATTTATTACAGTGACCCGGAGGTCAAGAGATTAGAGTGAATATAAGTGATAAAGAAACTGTTTACTCTTCCATTTTTGCAACTTAATTTGAGTGAGTCTTAGATTAAGCTAGTAAGATATACTGTGGGTTACGCAAATATTTCAAATGTTTTTATATGTATGGTTCCTAATTCAATCATGGGACCGAGGCGACTGATGCTCACCATAAACAAAGAAACAAAGTTCAAGGAGACACAGACATGTGGCAAGAATAACAGTGCCGCACTCGGCTGCAGCCCGTGTACCACTTTCTTTTTCCTACCGCACTTTGAAGTCATCTTTGATTGAAAACCGAACAGACGCACGGAAATATGGATTGTCTTTGTGAAATAGAGCTTAAATAGTGGTCTTTCGTTAGTGTTAGGCCAAAAATGATGTGGTCTGTGTCGCCCCTCGAACATTTTTAGTGAAAAACAGTATAAAAAAATCACTGCATTATGAGGACCATATGAAATGGCACACGCAAGGTTGAAATGAGATGCATACCGCATACCGTTCCAGAAAAGGAAGAAAAAGGAAGAGTGGCATATATCGCATATTTAAGGCTCAATAAAAATTAAGTCATCTTTTACCATCTGTACATTATGTATCTCATATTTAAAGCTCAGTAAGAATTCAGTCATCTTTGACCATCTGTACATTGTATATTAATTAACTCACCAACTAACAAGCCCCAAAAGATTTTGACAATTACACCTATGTTAATTTCCTAGTTTCAGTGTTTCCATATTTTTCTTCAACTGTTCACTTAACCCTTTACACCCTAACATCAGTATGTATATTCTCCAAACTGTTCTCTATACATTTCCTATGGTGCTGAAAAGGAGAATTTGTTTAACAATCAAGAGCTTCTTAAGTTGGTGATTGTTTCCTTTTTATCTTGATATTAACCTTTAGCTCCTGAGAGTTAATTTTTGAGTCTCCCCTCTAGTTGCTAGAAATTTCTTTGTAAATTAGTATCCAGAATTTGGTGTTAGATTAAGATAACAACTTTGAACTGATAAGTTTGAGTTTTCCTTTGATCTGTTTGTTGGATGAGGTGAGGATATTATAGAGAGAAGTAATATGTTAATCACTTCTGGAGTTAAAGGGTTAATGCTTTATTCAGGGGTGATTTTATAGTGAGAAGTTAGATGGTAGACACTCTCAGGGGTTACAGGGTTAACTTGAAAATCTTTGAAATTTCCCATTGCATTGTGTGGATCTCATTTGAAAGGTATGCCTTGCTAGTCTATCCATTTCATTAAAAGGGTAAGGAAGCAGTGCTTTGAAGATGGCCTTCCTTTGAAAGACCATAAAATTTTATGTGAGTATTTGAACAATACCAAATTACTTCTTAGTATACTAACTGATTGATGCTTCTAACAAGATAGATAGCAAATTTGTTATGTAAGAGTTAAGCTCAAAGTGGGTGGGTCTAAGTGCTGCCAAAGACACATCCTGCTTATTCTTTTGCTTCATTTGTTTGGTTACATTGTGGTTTCATTTTTTATTTTATTGATTGTTATTTCTTTGGTTTTTGTCTAGATAGTACCTGATATAATGTAATGGGTTTGAGACAGTGAAATAAGATTTAAACCACAAGTCAGAGATCAAACCACTGCAGTTATATAAGATTCCCATCCCCATTAACCTTTTCACTCCCACAAGTGACCAAGACAGAATTTCTCCTTACAATATCAATACAATATCAAGCAGGTAGGTGTTGAGAATAGAGAAGAATATCAATTATGGGATTATTAGTTGATCCAATACCAAATTCTCTGAACTAACATCATACGAATTGTATAGCAGATAGTAAGGAGAATTACTGATTAGATCTTGGGAGTGAAAGGGTTAAGAAGATTCATTGCTGTATATTCTGTCTGCTAACTTAATAGGGTGGAATAACTTAATTTATTAATGTCCAATGTCACAACAGAGTGCATTTCATTTAGGGGATCATCAGTGGTAGCTAAAGCACAAAATGCTTTTGAAATGTTCACAAACTAAGGCTGATTTATTAAATACAAAAACATATGATTCAATCATCTGCCTCAAGAGAAACACTTCCTGATGAATCTTAGAAACATCAGAAAGATCATAGTGTACATTATCATGGACAACTGTCATATTATTTGATAATATGGTTCTACACTGTAGCATACACTGTAGCATGCACTGCAGACATCTTATAAGGTTGAACTAACATGATAAGCTCATGATTGTTTATCCAGCCAACCATGTTTGATTTGGAATTAGAGTCAATGGTGGGAGTAGGGGACAAGGGAAGGGTGAGACTGTCCCCTCGGTCAAATTTTTTTCTTTCCCCAGCCTTCCACTACCATTTAAATAAAGGATGGCAGCCATAATTTTTGTTAAGAAAATACCCAGCACTTGCTTGCCAAAATTACGCCTGCTCTGCAGGCTACTATTGTATCAGTGTAAGTATAAAGAAATCTGTAAGGTCTAATCTATCAGCTAAGTTTGTGCCTAAGCATAAGACTCGTTCTGTGAGAACCAGGTTGATTATACGTAACCTTACTTTCGTAAATTTCAGCAATCAACTGAATCAATAACTCTTTTCATTTTGGTCTCCAGGTTTCCAGGAAGGCCATTTCTAAGGTACTGTACTAATTTCTAGATATTTTAGGAATCAGCAGTAAGTGTAACTATAACCAAAAGTGTAAGTTTCTCTAACTTGTAACCATAACATCTTTACAGCCTGTAAAGTTTTTAGAAAAATACAAAACCAATGTATCACCATCTATACTTAGATAAATACACCCCACGCCTGGAAAAATTATTAACATGAGACACAGAAATTTTAAATTAAAGATAATTATATCATAGTAACTCTAAATATCACTGATGTTTTTTTTTAGAGAATACCATCAAACACATCCTACAAAATTTGGAAATTACAGCCTTCCTCAAAATTATAGATTGAAATAGATAAAGAGGAACAGTAGCTTACAACAGCAGTGGCTGGCCAAAGCTTCAAGTCTTTTCTTTGGGATTATAAGACTTTATATTAGTAATTTTAAGTGCAAGAAAATGAGTGTACATGTGTAACAGGCGAAATTATTACTATGATATGATTCATTTTTATTTTACTTGTTTATCATCACTCCACTATAAGTTCAGTTTAAGATTTTGATACTGTGAATATGTCTCCTTACCATAGTTCTTTCTGTTGAAATTTTGAAAAAATTTGAACTTAGTTTATACCTGACTGCATGTTACAAACTTAATAAACACAAATTTATGTCAAGAGATGTGTAAATCTCATATTATAATGACTTGTAACATTAATAGTGTATTATCTCCTTAACTGGAAATACCAGTTCAGCATACAGTTCTGGCTCTTCACAAAAGCCAACCAATTTTGTCTGCTTCTGGGAATCTCCATTCTGCCTGGAAACTAACAAAGACAAAACTGATTGAGTTAATATGTAATATTTGCTGCATGAGTAGACACAAATTGTTTGGGCAAAGTCATATAAACTCTGACAATCTTTGTTTTAAAGCAGTACCGTTTCCTGGTTTCGAGTGGTAACCTACGGTTAAGGAGTTTTTCTCAGTCAGGATAAACTCTTTGGAAAAATTGAACACTTAAGAGTCCAAAATCCCTAGTTGTGTTGTAATCTTAATGTAGAGGGTGCATATGAGAGATAAGATGTAAATTTCATTCTTAAGATTTAGATCTAGACATATTTGTTATTTTGTGTTTGAGTTAATATCAGTGATATCTAAATTGACTCAGTAGAAAGGAAAGTGGATCACATGTCTGTTGTCTGGGTTTCCTGGTTGGTAGCATGGTTTAGTAAACTTAGTGGTAGAGAGTTTGGCTATATTTACCTTTTCAAGTTAAGGTAACTCATTCAGCTATGGTATTATCCAGTCCTTCAGCTCATCTTCAAAACTTTTGTTGACACAGTACAAAAAGGCAGTCTTATCTACTTGACGGCCAGGCATGATATTGAACACATGTCGTCGGTAATGACGATCTGGTGTGTGCATGTAGTTGTCTAGGTAACCAGGGCATTCGGTGGAGGGGCACGCAGGTCCACAGTGAAACTTTACAAAGGGGAAACTCCTCTTGCAAATCCCCTCTACCATGGAGTACACTTCGCACAAGACATCAGAAGGCTTCTTTCCACGACTATTGCTGGAAAGTAATGGAATGTGTTGTTTTACGTTAGTGGAGAAAAGGTTTAGAAAAAAAACTTTGTTGCAAGCTGGCACATTACCAACCTGGCCATAAGAATTTTCACTTTAAGCCAAGTCACTTGCGTAATGACTATTTTCAAGGCTACAAGTCATTTAGTATAAAGAAGATTCTGGTTAGAGAAACTCAGAAACACACACACGATCCCCGAGCAAAACTATGTACATTCTCGCAAACAACCCACAGTATCATTTCTGTTAGCCACCAAACATTATGAAAAGTCTAAGTCCCCTAAGTTTTTGAGGAAAGGGTGTACAACTACCTGGTACTGAATGTAACTTCAATAACACCCTCTTTCTTCATCAGCTTAAGCCTGTAGGGCTGCCGAGAACTCATCCAGAACTTTCCAACATCTCTGAACACAACAGTTGCACCATTGGCAAACTCCACCTTACTTTTCTTGTGGGCACGAGACAACAGGCGATGGAACAAGGGTTCTGGTAGGAACCTCTCGAAAAACACCAAGAACTTTTTATCTCTCTTGTCATCATACCATGCTAGGTTGCATCCATCTTGAGACTTCGGTAACAAGGATGGAACAAAGTGAGTTGGCTGGAGCCTCTCTTTGTCTTGTAAGGTAACAATTTTGACTTTGGTGTGAGTCAATGGGCAGATCAAATCGTACTTTTCAAGAAATGCAGTCATGGCCTCTTCATTTTCCTTTACGTTGGAAATGATGCTGACCAGGAGTGGTTTCGTTAGCATTCCCTTTTCCTGGAGAAGTCTCCAATCACTCCTTAATCCTCTCGTCTGGGTCATTTGAGGGGATGACGTGACCAGCTGGGTAATGATATCCACCAGAATTTCTGGTTTGAGTAGAACCCAGTCGGACAGGTCTTTTTCTTTGGGAATGTATATTATCAGGCCTTGTTCATGGAAATACTTCAAGGTTTCTTCAGACCAGTTGGTGTGAATTATGTTACCAAATGCCCATGGAAACTCTCTCAGTGTGACACAGTATCTGGCAACCTTCTTTTGCCTTAATTGGATGATTGCATCTTGTATTCTTATCCATGACAAAGGAATGTTGTCATCTGTAGTTGGCTTGCATTCCTCAGTAGCAGCCATGATTTTGATTCGAAGCATTTGAACTCCAACATCATTCTCCCCCTTTGAGTTCTCAACTGGAAAGAAGATCAGATCTTCATCTTCATTAACAACCAGCTCATCACAGTAGGATGTCCAAAGAATTTGTTTTAACTTGCCATTTAAGTTTTGCATGTGGTTCTTGTCTATGTGTTCACAATGTGTTCCAACAAGGAAGATTGGTGTTTTTGGTTGTACATGACCACAGACAGACTCAAACCAAACGAGAAGCCTCTCAGCCTTTAAATTCTTAAATTCCTCCGGTACAAAATCAGACATGTTGAATACAACGACATAAACAGCCTGGTTCCTTAGAAACATATGATGATAAGCATAATATTCTTCATCACCAGCAAAATCCAGGATCTTCATTTTCAGAAAGGGATATTTCTTGTTTAGCGCAGTTTGTATCATTTTTGTGTTGATTTCACCGTTTCCAATAAGTGCAAGTGTCATGAAACTGTTAAAGGGGTTCACAAATTGTGTTTCACTGCTGTATGAATTGCTGCAAAACAATTCCTGGTAGAAGGTTAAGCCGACGTATACAGGAATTGTTATAAAAAAGAAATAAATTGCAATACGTGGTGTAGTATGAACTTGATATGCTACTTTTATGTGATAATAGGTCAAAACGATCAACAGTGTTATTCGAGGTACTGATCTCAGTGATCTGTCCTTTTTAATAGCTGATACAGTAACATTTCTGACGTAGTTTATGTCCAAAATGATACGTGGGAAGTCAACCACGAAAATTGCAAGAAAACTAAAGACAATGCTGTCATTACTTTCGGTGCAGGCTACGAGCTTTGCGAAAGTTTCCCCATCTTTAGTTTCATGAGTAGTTGACGTTACTGAAAGTTCTATAGATGCATGCTCCCGGTAACAGAGTCCTTCTAGTCTCCAGAAGGACATTGCAACTATAAAGCCAGAAATTAAACCGATCAAGATTGATAAAGGTAACCGACAAAAACAGAGGAACTTCATAAAGGTTTGATTCTTGATCAGTCGACCTGTACCAAAGGGTAGTCGTTGTGGTCCAATGAAAAGGAACAAGGCAACGAATGTAATACCTGCAACTGTGCTCAACATGAGAAATTCGCGAGTACTAGCAAATTCAAAGTAACTGCGGTAAAAGGGACATAGCATTAGAGCTGAATATAACCCAATCAATAACCCTCGGTGGCTCAAGATGAAAGCCACTGTAGCGAGTGTAAATCTGATGTCATGACTCTCAAAGAGATTCACACAAATCGGAAACATAAGGTGACCATAGTAAATGAAGTAAAATAACAGGAATGCCATTGGATATCTTAATACTGTCCCAATAATGAATGAAAATGTTAATAAAATTCCACAGAAATACAAATAAAACCGCAGAAGACTTGTTGTCAATATGAACTGTAAATCTTGAACAAGAACCTTATTGTTCTGCTTTCCAGTTCCGATCAAAGCCACTTGTATGTCCCCTGTTTTAAGATACCTCCACAAGTCTCCAAACACGAGATCCTTCATGTCGCAGTTTCTCCACTTGTGGTCCACAAGGCTCTGATCAATTCCTTGCGTTCTTTGTTCGGCTGGATCGAATGGCCTTCCAGTAAGCGACTTTACAAGACTTGTCTTGCCGACGCGAGGATCACCTAAAACTAAACATTGTCTTGGGAAAGCAAAATGCGTGTTTGTGGTATCGCCTTGTTTCTCTTCCAATTCGATGTTCTCGTAAAAGGGCCTTTCCTGACTAAAAAATTTGGCCATCTCGACGGGACGGGAAATGTAATATACTTTCAGTTAAGGAATCTAACCTCGTTTCCAGACTCCTTCCCTCCTTTCCCCGAATTGACCTCTGGACAAGGGAAACTAAGGCCTTTGGGACGAGAACAAATTCTTTGCCGGTCTTGGCTTTCTAAAAATATACTGAGGATGTGGAAGGAGTGGGTGTGAAAGCGAAACATCCAGCCAGCAAAGATTGCATTTTGGGGAGGGGGGATGGCGCTTCAAAAAAATAGGTCCGCAATGCGTACTTGTGTGGGATTTCATTGACAAAGTGTTTGCAAGGGGTTTTTGAGCGGAAGCAAACCTGTCGCCCACCGTGAGTCAACTGTACTACAGGGGTGATATTAGGCCTGGAATCAACAGCCTGAATAGTAATTTTTGTGCGGGAATTATTTGAACAAATACAGATTCACAGGAGAGATCTGGGGTATTAACTTATACTTTTATCAAGCAATATGCCTTTCCCTCCCTCCCTGGAAGCTTTTTGGCGTGTTTTTGAACGTTTGGTAATCGTCTTCAACAAATAAATTACCTCTTGGTGGCTTAGGCTATTTATTTGTTTATACGGCAATACTGCAAATACTTGGAGCAGTAAATATTTTCGTAACAGTCATTGAAAAAAAATTGAAAAAATTTCTGCTACTACTGTTTAACTCGTGGATATACGATAGCGGAGAAACGAGTTCTTGTGGGCGCTCTGCGATATGCAAATTAGCGTGGACTCTTCGTAATTAGTCGTAATTAGTCGGCTTCGAACTCGAGATCTATCCTTCCGAAGAAGTAAGTCCAAAGTCCTGGCGCTATTATGATTGCACTGATCGTTGCGATATTTATTGTCTTTACACGCCTGTTTCGACATTTACTATATTGAAATGGACTTCAAATGTTTCAGACTAGTGCTATGATCAACTTAAAAACCAAATTTGAAGGGTCTTCGAATCGTCCATGCGCTAAACATAACGAGGACCAGCGAGAATCACGAAGAGTTTGTGAGTGACAGCAAGCTGTTGACACAGAAATTCCCACGGAAACATGTACCCATGACATAAAAAAAATGGTAATTTGCAGCATTATTTCTTTCTACGCC